AAGTGAGGAGTATTTCCCCTAGAATGACTTACTGCCATGTACGGCTTGCAACCCGCATCCATAGTTTTAGCCACAGAGTCCACCAGATGGCCACTGATGCCAAAGTCGCACATTTTCACTTGGCCCAAAGTGTTGATGAGAACATTTGAAGGCTTCACATCTGGACACAAACAACGGAAAAAGAAAGCAGCGTAAGCCGTACAAAAAAAAATAAAATGCAGAGTGCAGTTCTCAGTTCACTCATTAATTACCTCTGTGTATAACGGACAGATTTCTGTGCAGATGCTCTAATGCTTTGACAATCTGTGGAAGAAAATGCACATCACTGATGTCTCAGCGTAAAAAAGAAATCTTGTTCATTAGCAAATTGTGAATTTGAGCACTTTTTGTGTATAGTCTGCAAACTTAAAAATACATTGTTAATTCAGAAATGGCCAATCATTTATGAATTATGACTTACTGCTACATTGATCTTGCCCAGGATGTCCTCTGGAATAGTTTTGCCTTTATCCAAAACCTTTTTGTAAAACTTGTCCAAAGAGGTGTCCATAAGCTCCATACAGATCCAAACATCACCCTGTAATTTAAAAACATATATTATGATTTTAAGGATTTTATACCAGAGAAAATATGGTAGGTGCAAGCGAGTGTCACCTCTCTGAAGAGTGCCCCATAGAAGGTAACTGTATAAAAGCAATCTACTGTCCTCATGGAAATGTCCAGGTCCATCAGAAGCCTCTTCTGCTCCAAAGTGTTGACTGTGGCCCGAATCCTCTGTCAACACAAACAATACAGTGTAACTGGTTCCAATGTGTGATTACTGTCAGATTTTAGAAACCAGCAAAGCATAAGCTAATGAGTGTTTTGTACCATACCTTGACAGCCATAATAACTCCACTGGGCACATGTCTCATCTTGTCCACCACTCCGTAGGCCCCCCTCCCCAGCTCTGCGATCTGCTCCAAATCATCTGCTTTCACCACAAAGTTCTGGATAGAGCAAACAGACATTAGAATCAGGTACACGGGGCTGAGCCCAAATAGACTGGGTCGTCTCAGGAAAACAGAACACTGAGAACATAGAGAACACAAATAAGGGGAAGCTTTACCCGGTCTCCAATTGTGACGCAGGCCTTGGAGTCGAGATCTCGAGGGGGTCTGCAAAGAAAAAATTTTGTCAAAAAAACCTTTGTGTTACATTTCTTGTACAAATTGTTCTGGTTTTATTAGTACAGAACACATTCTGTTAACAGAGCTTCACCTCCACACATACCAAAGATGTATCTGAACAAGTTCAGTATTAGTTAAACCTGAATCATGTTTGAGTCTGTCTTTAAGGAATTCAACCATTAGTCATAATTCATTAGAGAAGCCCTTACGCTGTAGCGGCTGGTGAAGGAGGCTTAAAAACTTCTTGGGCCAGTTTCAGCCCAGGGTTCTTCTTCTTCCCTGTGGGGACATTTAGGGGTGAGTTGAAACAGTACATACATAATAATTTTCTGGCTTCTTCCATTATAACTGCTTGAAATTTTCCCCCGGGCAAAATGAAGGTCCACATTCCATATTTATAAGTTATTATTGGGCATAAGTGTTCATTATTATTTTCTTATAAATTAAGAAGAAATGTATTCATCTTCAACTATTCATCTTAATACTATGTCAGAGAAAGTGTTTTTTTGTAGCTAATTAATTAATAGCCAAGTTCCATTCTAAACAGAAAAACTTCCAAAAATAACTGAAGTTATATTATGGACAATAGACCCACAAAAACTCTACACCTACTCAATAAAACGCTGTTTACACCTTTGAATAGAGTGGAGAGAATCATGTTCAAAGACTACACTGCTGTAAATTGTCCTGCTTTGGGCTCTATGTGAATCAGTGACAGTCTCCCATTCATAAGAGTTAAGCAGCAGCCACTGGGACTTCCCACACACAGATCCTGCTCTGGACTCACAGCATCACGTGGGAACACACTTTAGCACTTCTGCACATAGAAACTCATGCTTAGCATGTGTGCTTTAGTTGCTACCACCTGCTCTTATTGCATAATGGTGCACAGGTAAAAACATTGCAGTTTAAACGAAATACAGCTAGTGTAAAATGATGCAGATGAGATAAACTGTACCAAGGTCTTTGCTATCTCTCATAAAGTAGGTTGGTGTTTGCTAATTCTGAGTCACCACTATTGTAGAGGAAGTGTGATTGGGTAAACCCCTCATGGGAGGCAAAGGAAGTAATGAAATCACTTGGTTTTTAGTTGTTACCACAAAAGCTGACAGACATGTCCAGTTAGTGCGGTGTCTGAAATGAGGCCACAGACAGGACCGTGGTGCTCTCATGTGATCAGCAGTGATTGAGGTGTGATTTACACACACATGCGCAGGCAAAAATAGACCAAGCTTTTCCTCTGCGTGGGTTTTAAAGACGAGCAGTTGAGAGCTTCCGATGACCTGACAAATAAGACGGCCTTTTGTTCAAGCAACAAATCCAGAGTATCGCATGAAAGGCTGCAGCACAAAACAGCTCACATACCACACAACCTTTTAGCTGCAGAAGATACAGACGCTACAATGCTCTGGAGTGCAAGGTAAATGGTTACAATAAAAAGTGCATGAAACAATCAGTGCTGCTGCAAAGTGCTCAGTATCAGACTACACTGCTTTGGTGGGTGCAGAGCGGTGACCCAGTGTCCAGGACCGGGCACATCAGCTGAAAATACAACTGTCTGAACACTTTGGGAAATATGATGTCACTTCAGTTGGCGTGTAGGTCCCTCTCTGCTCCTGTTAACTGAGAGCAGTTTAATTTCTGCTTTATGCTTAGTATAAGATTCATAAATGGTGCCTGATAAAACAGAGCAACCCTGTGAATGTACTGAGTCCATGTAGGATAAGACACTCAAAAATGTCTCCCATTTAATGAACAGCTCAATTACTGCCTGACACTTTCACTGCTCTGGTATCCAACTGCAATACCATAACACTGTAGAAGTTGAAAAAGACTTTAAGGTCATCAAGGTTGATCATTTTAAACTTAGGAGAATTGGTTTTGCTCTGTGCATGAGGGAAACAATAAACATGACAAAATCTGAGGAGCTAATGCATAGAGGGTTTATGCAATTTCAACGTGCAACATTTATAAAACAAGCAGTGAAATATTTTATGCTTTTGTTCATCAACTAAATAAGGAAAGTATTTTGAGCATGGCAGTACATACGTAATGCGAACAAGAATTTCTGGATTGTGCATGGGATCAAAGTGTCAATAGCAATGTGGCGAGTCACCATCAGGAAGCTCCAGCCTTTGAGCAGGTTCTTATACAGACGAGGATGACTCATGGGCATATAATCTTGTGCACCACCCATCAAAGCAGTTAGGAAGAACTCAATCTCCAACATGTCCCTGCAATATCAGCCTAAAGGCAGCTATGAACTACGGTATAGTGCATACAGACCCCCTCCCTCCTTGGCCAGAGGAACTGCTTGGTGAAAGCACATTCATATAAGCTAGGCCTGCTTTGATACAATAATAACTGAGCAGAAATAGTGTTACAGATCTGCAGTCTGTGCTTGCAGCCAGTCAACTGTCAACAAAAAGCAGCGGCTGCACCAGCAATTGGTGGTGCAAGTCAAAACATGCCATGGTAGGCCAAAGGCTGTGATTGCTGAGCAGCACGCAGCCAATCTACTGCGCCCTCTCAAAACAGTGTGTACTCCTGTCCATGGTAACGCTAGTATGATTGTGTAACAGCACCAGCGGTGAACTTGAAATGTAAATTGACATCATCACGCTCGGAGTGCGTGACGCAGAGGAAGAACCTTGATTTTTCCAAACTATGTTATTTTATTTGGTCCAGTACTGTACAGTAATTACACAGAGAGTCTCAGTGGTGGAGACATGGTCGTAATAGCACGGTTACTGGTCACTGCTGTGTTAAAAGCCTGTTTTCATCAGTGACCCATCATAATAACATGCACCAAATCTAAATATGTTTGTGCTAACCTTTGCAACACAAACGATGAGTCATGATGTCAGCAGACATTACACCTGTTTCCAACCAGTTTATGAACAAAAGATCAAATATCAAGAGCTCCTTCAATACTTCAAATTAATACTGTTTTAATGCACTGCGCCTTATTGCCAAAACGATTTTACCCGTGAACAAGTTCTTGCAGCTTGGCATAAGTCCTGTATTGTCCAAAGGCGCTGCTAGCCACTCACAGGGAACTTTAAACCAACACGTTGCGGTTGTGAATAGCATGCTTCCATTTTAACATGTTTCTCAAAGATTTGGTTAATAAGACCACGGGGGTATCATTTCAATACCATCGGGCTAGTGGGGATCATTACATGAAGCAGGAAAGACATGCTTGCTAGCTTCTTTTCCTGCTCTCATACATGCAGCTTTCCACCTGGCAAGGCTACCATTTCTTCAACGGAGCTAGCTTAACTACTTCCTCGAAAACTGCACCCCGTTATTTAATGTACGTGCATGTCTATTTTTACAATAATGTGCGTTAGAACACTTACCTCCTTTGGACAGAGACATTTCCCCTTTGCTTTGATGAGGGGGAAGGGAAGCACAAAGACTTTTGCCTTTTTCTACTCCCTCCCTCCCTGCATCTACCCTTACACTCGATCAGGATCGCTGGCTTGTCGTGCAAAACTAGCAGCGATTCAAGGGGAGATTTGCGCGCTTCTTTGCAGTCCACTCAATCTAGTCCGCAGCCACTGTCTTTAAAAACCGTTCAAAAGACAAATGCACAACTTTAAATCAAGTCAACGCGAGTTTAAAGCTACAAATAGTTTGATAACAAATTCTGCACTTTTAGGGTGGCCAAAGTCTGACAGCTGAAGGCTTCAGCAACGTAATGACGTACTTCCTGAATGGACGTTGGCATGCTGGGATATGAAGTGTGGTGTTGTTCTGTATTTTTTTCCCTTCCCACGTAATTATTGTCCTTTCACACACAAAAGAAATAATCAAATAAACAAAATATAAAATAATAAATAAATAATTATCCAAATCCATTTTATTATTATTAGTTACAGTACAGTGGATTTACTGAGTACAATGCCACAAATAAATAAATAGAAAAAAGCATACATACTAAATAAAGTAACTACATATAAGGTATCTCACTAGGACATGAACCATTTAGTCAGTGCTCAATGTTTGTGAGAAAAAAATATCTTAAACATAGGCTGCAGTTGGGGGCTTGGGGCAGGGCTGTTGTGATAAACAAAGTTGTAAATACTAAATTCTAGGTCAGAACATTTACATACGTCATATTGCATAAGGAAAAAATAAATAGGAATAATCAGAATCTTTACCTAAAACAAATGCAGTGTTTTGTGTAGGAAGCATCTCCACTATGAGTTTTATGATAACGATGAAATCATTTTGATCCACAACACACACATCTTAACGGGTGGAAGGCAACAAAATGCACTGATTGACAATAAGATGTTCTAATGAATAACAATGTGTTGTGATATGAGTGGACTACATGCATGGTTTTGTACAGTTGGAGAGTGTAAAATCAATGATGAGGTGGTTTTAGCAGAGGTTACTTTCACTTTCTTGACACCAACAGACTATGATAAACAGGTTTTATTATAACATGCAAGAACAAAGAGCTGTCAATTAGATACTCAGAGGCGCGGCGTTGGAGGTCTGCATCTGCCAAGAAATCCCCTGTCTCTTCTGTGCTTTGGTGAAAGTTGTAGACATGACGTACTACTACTTTTCCCTGTTGTCTGGCCATGACAATAACGGTTTTCTGGAAACTCACTCCAGCAAAATCTGGGCTGGACGTAGCAGGCGTCACAATGATCCTAGGGCGACCTCCATCTGTGCGCGTTGGCTGCATTGCCCCCAGTTCAGTGTAGGTGGATCTTGCACTGAGTGGCAGCCAGCGAGGTGAAAAGAGGGCATTCCATGTCACTCTTTTGCTGGAGTCGTGACCACTAGGGCCCAACTGGGTCTGAAAACTGAAACTGCGATCATCACGGGTGGGGTTGTTGATCACCCAACTGGAACCCCAAGACGAAGACAGGTAGTTACGTGGAGTGAAGATACTACAGTTCACATCAAAGTACTTGGCCAGTTGGATAGGCGATGCAGAGTGGAACTGGAACGCAAGATAGAGGAGGTCACGGATAGCTTCGTAATATTTTACAAGGAGGGGGCATTGTTTCTGCAGGCGGAAAAGATGCTGAGGAGGAATCATGCCATATCGGATAGACCTTAGTGCGCTTTCTACGGTAGCAGCAACGGGTTGATTTAGGTTTATCCAGGCCTCTACTGCTTCGAACAACTCAAGTTCACTTTGCAGAATTAGGTCGGAGCGATGGAGCAGAGACAGAAGCAGGTCTTCACTTATAGAGCCCCATTCAGCACTCTGCAGCACTGATGACAGGTTCCAGGACAGGTACTGCAAGCAGCTATCCCGCAGGGCTGCATCTCCAATTTGCAGTGCATAGTTGTACCAGTTGACCACATGGCCTGAAGGGGAGTCACTGGAAAGATGTTGGGTCATGTATTGGGTCATTCCCTGCTGCAAGGCTCCCACATGGTACTTACTGGCCAGTTTGTGCAGAGCAATGGCCTGTTCAAGTCGCACGCCGATGTCTCCACTGTAGAAATATCTGCAAACATCCAAAATGCACAGGTTTATTTTTAAAAGAAGGAAAGAAAAATCAATGACAATGTTAAAAACAGATGCTTAGAGATGGACGTATTTAAGCTTGTGAGTCACAGAACCCACATTGTTGAATTTTTAGATGGGTGCAGGTGAATCTGAAAGAGCTTTAGTTAGAATTGTGTAGAAAGATATATTTAACTTTGCTTGGGAACTTTGCTTGTGTATATATTTGTAGTAGTATATTATTATTGCACACGTATGACTGAAAACTTGTACATCTAACTGTAATATCAACAGTGTAATAATAAAAAGAATGTCTGCCATGGGGGTACAACGTGGTATTTAGAGCCTTTTAATCCTGGAGAACTTTCCTACATGTTTACTGTGGATTTTTTTTTTTTTATTTTGGCCTCATTGAAATTTTAACATTTTTAGGTGATATTTGATGTCCCAATAAAAAGAGGAAAAAATATTATGGGGCTGTGGTGGTACAACCTATGGGGTTTTGCATATTTATTTTTACGACATAAAGGGGGCACACTGATATTACACTTAGATCTTTTTTAATTTTGATTATTTTCTTTCAAGTTTGTGCCAAGAGAGAAACAATAATCATACACATCTTACATATACATGATAAGCTACAGAAAAGCACATTTCTCGAAAAGGAGTGGGAGGAAGAAAAAACATAAATGAACCCACCCCTGTTCATGACATAGACACTTACCTGAGGAACTTATCAAAGACAGCTGCACAGTCAGGGGCCTCCCTCAGAATCAAAGTGCTGGAGTTTCGGGAGAGCAGCAGGTCCTCAAACACATCACTCTGCAGACTGAGCACCAGTGAGTGGGACTGTAGCACCTTCACCTCATCTGTGTTAATGCTCTGCACCCTCAAAGTCACATCACTGTTGTTCCCAGACATGAATAAGTTCTCTATGCGCTGCACCAAACTCATGGAGTGGTTAAGGATGGTGGCCCCACTGTCCAGCACTGTCTCTGGCTTCAGGGCAGCTGGAAAGAATAATATAAAATAAAATAAAAACATTTATCTGTTTATGTGAGTCTGTGAAAACAGACTCACATAAACATAGTGCTCACATAGTGCTACTTTGTGTGTTTAAATCCAATACAGGTTTTTCTATGAGGGAATGAAAAAGAGTCACGCTAATTGCATGTTATCATCCTTGTTACATTACATTAAGACACCAAGTGTAAATACAATATAATACTGAATACACCATCCCTTCAAAGATAAGGGGGGAGTGAATTTTGGTTCAGTTCTGGTTCAGTCCCCAGCCTGAATAATTGGAGATGATTGCCGGATTCAGAGCATCTGGATTCAAATCCGTGTTTAATGGAGATGCAATTCACCATTAAGCTGGCAAATATCCACGGAAAGATATGCTGAGGAATTCTATCAAACTTTTTAGATGCAGTTCAGTTAAGCAAAAAATTAAAAATAGACCAAACTTTTGAGTGGTGGCTGACTCAGAGAAGCATGTGTTCTGGAAGAAAAGCCTGAGTTAGCAGCAGCACCACAGAGCGCGGCACATACGAAGAATCACACATGAAAGCCTTTAGAAAGACAGGCTGCACTCTGCCACAGCCACTGTCAGCTCCTCTGTGGCCTGGGATTAATGAGGGGCTGAGGAGGTAGGGGCTTCATAACTGCACCAACTGCCAACACATAATCTTTTTCCAATTAACCTACCTGAAAGTAGGGGCCAGCTAAGATAAAGTGTAAGAAAAAAAATTATATCTAATAGACAGATTTGTCAAGTAGATGAAGCAGGTTATGAATTAACAATGATTCTGTCACCAAGAATGTGGAACACCTTTTCCCTTTGGACATCACAAAGAATTGCAAATGACTCTCAAGAACCATAAAAAGTAAAAGTTATATCACTTTTGGTAAATTATCACAAGCATTTGTTTATGTCAAGTGTTAACCGAATATCTTTGCTTGCACTTTTTTCTTTCTAGAGTTGTTTCAGTCTCAATTCTCAATTACAAAAGAGTGTGTCCTCTTGGGAATTAATTATTAGTTTGATCATGAAAATCTGAATTTGGTAATTATATACAGTTTAAATGTAGCATTTATCATATACAAAGTAACTTTCGGCTGAAATAAATTCATTTTTGGACTCCATGTAGAAAATTTATCAATATGCATATACAGGTTCTTTTGCAGTCAGATCTTTATAGTGTCATTGAGCCAAACAAACAGGGAAGCAAATGCACTTGGTCATCTTTCTGTAGACAGATAGATGAGGACAGGAAGAGTGGAATAGATGCATTTCCCATAAAGTGCCCTTAGGCTGGTTTACAGTCCTACTGCCACAGACAGTATCAGGAGAGACATGTAAAAACCAGAACAATAGAATACATTTCACAAACATACAAGTGATCTTACCTGCTTTGACATGGACAGAGTTGATGCTTAGTGATAGGAGTCCCATTATAACCAAGGAAAAACTCCATGGTTCACTTAAACGCAACATATCTCCAAGTATTCCCCTTCAGGTATTTTTCTCTTCTTTTTTTCTTGCTCTTGTCTTTGTTTGACAGTCACTAGCACAAGGGTACGTTGCCCCGTGTGCCGCTCTGCTCCCTGTCCCGCACTCTTTATGTAGGACGCTGGCCTTTCCGCGGCGTATCTCACAACCCCACAGACGCCATTGATTGGTGGAATCTGGCAGGGGCGTTGCTATGGCGACAGCTTTGATTTTTGAATTCTTTCCCCCCCTTTTGGGTGCTACATGGCATTGATCATCCAACATCACCGCATCTGGCAGGATTGGAATTTTTTCTGGATTTCATAATAAAAGACTAAAACACCTGATGAGCACTAAATTAACACATGCATTTCAAAATAAAATGACCAAAAGAACACTTTTAGTGGGATTTTGGAATGTTTAGTTTAATCTTAACTGTTAAGGCTATGTAATTACTCGCTTTATTTCCTTCAAATTTTTAATAGGGGTTTTCATTTTAAGTAATTAGACGCCTTAATAACTGTGGCTAACTGCAGTCAGTCACATTTAATAAACAGATCAAGTGGCAGATTTTGATTCAGGGGCAATTACTGCTCAAAAGCCATGTTAATTTCACTAATGGAAAGCTAATTTCATTGGTGCTGGGTTTTTCCCATCAACTAACCATGAGGTAGAGTTTATGTATTCAAGTATATCAGCATTTTACAAAAGAGGATATTCACTGTCATTGTAAAATAAAATTAGTAAAAAATGTAATTGTAGCAGAATTAAATTTGATGGAGTAGGGTAAGTAGTCCATATAGCAGCCTCAGGGTTTGGACAGTTTTTAAAGGCAGCCATTAAAATTTACCCTTTATTTACCACTCAGCACACATCGATCTGCAGGATATAGGTCACTCAATACAGAAATCACTGTTATATCTGAATGTAGCTTTGATTTTGTGCATGCAACAAGGGCATTAGTCCATTACAGAAATTTATATGAAAATGATTCAATATATGACATGTCTATAAAAATCTAGACTAACCTGAAGCTGCTCGGAATATTTACTGGACAGGATCTCAGGAAGCTGCTCTTGTAGACTGCTGCAGAAAGTGACCTGAGCTGGCCCACTGTAAAACAACATACAAAAGTTTAAGGTCATCAGACAAAATAAACAGATCCAATGTTAACTGATCTTCAACCGCATGAACATAAACTCATCTTCCATACTTAAATTTGTTATTAAAGGTACACTATGTGACTATGGTTACGGAAAGAATGCACGTTTTTGAAAGTATTTTACAAGCAATAAAACAAAAACCAGTAATTGAACAAATGATAAATATGATTTCTTGAATAAGATATGTCTGTTTAATACTTTACTGTGGAACATTAAAGATAACTTGGAATGGAAATTTGCGTGTGACTACATGCTGAATATTTTTATATGCACCTCCACACCTGATAATAATATTTTATGTATTATTTTATACATGTACACCTTAATGGATAAATAAATTAAGCATAAAATGAAATGTAACAGACACTCTAAAGACCCATTAGACTATAGATTATATGGGGGTGTGTGTCCTTCCCTAAGGTCCAATACAGTATTTAATTATCCATCAGGACTAACATGAAAAGTGCTGGATTAGCTCTGCCCACAGCGTGAGATCCATTGAGAGATCGATCGGCCACAGGGGGCAGCATACATACCCCTATAAACATGTTAAGCTGGCTGGACTATAGGTGCATGGGTTTACAAAGGTGCCCCCAATGACCCTTTGTACTGTTACTGTATCACGCTATAGGATGGGCAAAAAGTCAATAGACAGACCATGTATGTACATGTACATTGTTTAGTATTATTTCCATTACTTAACTAAGCACATAACATACCTCCAATAGGCCCAAAGTGTAACTGATTTCCACATTATACAGAACACAAATTCATCATTCAGTCATACACAAAGCATTGTATTTTTCACAATAAATATCTTATAAACTACAGCTCTGGATCATATTCTTTGAATAGGGCCAATAGTGGATAAACTGCCACGGCGGTACATTGAGCATCCCCTACCTTTAGTGATTGAGCCAATGAGGAACCTCCAAACAAATTTTTTAAGTTCTGCCTATTTTATAATATGGTTGCATTATAATATGCATATAGTTTTTGGTCTTTCAGGAACACTTGTCCCACATTAAAGACACTACAGATGAAGGAAATTAATTTATTCACTACTGTATTAACTCTGGCATATTTATGTTGAAGCTGCTTGCTGGCATATTGATTAATATACACTGTCCATATACAAATCAATAATTAAATAACTGAAATAAATCAAAATAACAAGATCTAAAGTTTAATTTTGCAGATGCTCCTCTTTAAACGGATGTTCAGTTAATTTCATGCAGCATTTTTATTCATGACTCTCCTGCCAATACTTTGAAATGGTGATTGCTTCTTTGAAATTCTGGTGTGGAATGTGTTGATGAATCATGTAATAAATAAACAAAATGGCATCAACATTTTTTTTTTTATTTATTTTATTTCAGGACATTATTATTTTAATGTATATGATTAAGGTTATTTCTAAATTTATATGCATCATCACATTAACCTCGGTGTTACATTTAAATGCAATGGGCTAAACTGTTTCATGCTCAGTAGTTTTTGTTTGACCTTACTGAACAAATAATATTCCCTCTTGTATTGTCGGGAGCTGGTCATCAATTTTTTAACAACATTATCCACTAGGGGGCTCTCCAAACTCTCCAGAAGCAAAACTCTCTGCTCAAGATGACGAGGGGCATTCAAATGTAAAAAAAAATAAAAATATCATCAAGCCTCATCTAGTTTTTTTTTTTTTTTTTTTTTTTTTTTTTTTTTTTTTTTTTTGACACCGCAAGCTAAAGTAATTGGCCAACAATGAAGTAGGTTAATGCTCAGTGATGGAAGTAATTAAATCACACATCACGTGACAACTTTTAATCATCAAACAAAGAGCGGTAATACACGCATTTAACTCAATTTGAAGTTCACAGCAAGCCATATTATGCAAAGATTATTTCTGAAAACGGGACACTGTTCTCTGTGGGGTGAGTGGGTCTTTTGTTAGTAGTAAGCTGTATGTGGCGCAAATAATCTCACTGATATGCAAAGCTGGAAACCACCACACTTGGTTTACGAGAACAAGTGGAAAGTAAGGCAGGAGTTGGCACCTTTCTGTGTACAGCGGACATGTAACAAGGACCAGAGTGCGCACTCATTTATTGGATGCGCCACAAGGAGTTGGTGATAACATGGTTCAGTTGCTTCACAGCGGGGGGACGGAATAAACAAGCTCTGTTTGGACTTGAATGGACGAGACAACGCTCTAAAGCTGCCTACAAGTGGAAAAAATACTCAAGTTATTGCTGCGGAATAAAAGATCGTCATCAAGTAAGATTTAGGTCCCTCATCAGGCATAATTTGTTTATCTTGAAAACTAATTTATTCCTAGTGTAGGTTATACGCACTGTTAATAAAACAGGTTTAATGGTAACTTCTATTTGTAATCTTACCTTTTTCAAATTCTTTTTCTATTCTTTGCCATTTTGTATGTTTTTTTTTCCTGTGTAACTTTGTCTTAGCCCTAGACTATATAGTCATCTATTTAATTAGGGAAATTTGTACATAATTCTGGTTGTTGTAATTTACAACTTGTAAAACTAGTTTGAAGTATAACCTGTTGATAATTACAGAAATTAATCATTTATAATGGCAGAAAAATAGTTTACAAATTTAATTAACACCAACTCTATCTTTTCAGCTTACGTTTACAGCATCAGGAGTGACAGTATGAGTTCTGCAGGTTCTCCCAAAGGATGTGGCCCCAGCGTCAGCTCTGTGTACTATAACCTATGTGACCTGACCACTGTTTGGGGGGTTGTAGTTGAGGCTCTAGCGGCAGGTGGCATACTTACCTCAATTATTCTGTTCATCACACTTATGGGCTCCCTACCATTTGTAAGTGACAAGAGACGCAAAGGCATGGTGGCACTACAAGCTGGTGTTCTTATTTTCATTTTGGGACTATTTGGTCTCACATTTGCATTCATCGTAGGGAAATATTCCACTACCTGCTCAGCTCGGAGGTTCCTATTTGGTGTGTTGTTCTCGGGGTGCCTTGCCTGTCTGGTGATGCATGGACTGTGGCTTGCACTGCTAGATAAACATGGTAAAGGTCCCAGAAGTTGGACATTTTGCCTTGGTGCTCTGGGACTTTGGCTGGTGGAAGTCATCATCAATACAGAATGGCTCATTTTAACTGTAGCTAGAAATCCCACCAATGCTGACCCATACTTGTCTTGCATTATAACCAACACAGATTTTGTCATGTCCCTTATATATGTTATGGTTTTGCTGTTGGCAGTGGTGGCAATGGCTGCCCCATCTGTCAAACACAAAAACAAGCAATGGCGCACAGATGGAACCTTCATTCTGTTATCAGGTCTTTTTACATTGGCAATATGGGTGGCTTGGATAGTTATGTACCTTTACGGCAATGGGGCTATTGGAAATCCCACATGGGATGACCCAACCTTGGCAGTAGCAGTGGTGTCAAACGCTTGGGTGTTCCTCTTCTCCTACACGATCCCAGAGATCTGCCTTTTGGCCAGGGAGGGTCCAGAGCAAGAGCAGCCCCCTGATGGAGAGCACATCTATCCTACTCGAAGTCTGGCATATGACAACATCACCAAAGATGTGGACGAACCAGCACAAAATCTGTATCTGGAAAACAAGGCATTCTCCATGGACGAATCTCCAGGTATAATATTATTGCTTATCAATTTGACGAGGGTTTAGATTTCCAGTCATACAATAGGAACATTCTGTAGTCAGCCTCCCTCAAATGCACACATAAAACAATAAACTGGTGATGGCAATGTTCCCACTTAACTCAGTTATGACTGCTCATATATTTATATTAGGACTGTAAATAAATCCATGAAAATAATATATCTTATATTTTTTTCTACAGAAACATCAAAATCACCATATGCAGCTTTTAATGGTCAGTTAAGAAAGGCCGTCTACCAGCCTACTGAAATAGCTCTTATTGCTAAGGGTCTTACTATGGTAAGTGGGCTTATATTATATATAAATGCTCTACTACATTGTAAAAGGCTGCAAAAGGTTTGACTTATTGTATTTTTTATTTTTTTTTAGATAGATCAAGAAATCAAGATCCCAAGAGCCAACACTCCAAGAGCCAACACCCCCGTTTAAATCCAGGAAGCAGTTCGTTGTCTATTCCATCTCTGGAATAGTCCGTGCCATTACTGATTTCTTCGTGTTTTAAAGATAGCAAGCATTTCAATTTCAATGTTAAGTGGAATAGACCCCGAAGTGTATTTTCTCTAAAAGTGTTTTTCTGTGTAAGCAATAGTAAATAATTATCATTTGCTACTTGCTAAATTAGTTAGTTCCAGTATTTGGAATATATTTGGCTTCAAATAATATTTAGCATTTTAATTTATTAAAATAGAACAAAGTGTTCTTTTGAAGACACAAAATGGAGGATGATGCGAAACTAAAATTCATGTAAATGTTGCAGGTATAGTGTATGCAAACTGCATCACTCATTTACAGGTTTGTAAATGAGCATGTTTTCTAACTGAGCAGTAAAATGATTACAATAAACAAAAGAAGTCATTGGATTGTGCCAAGTGGTAAACTTGGAAACCAGAGAAGCTAATAAAATGGTTTACTAAATTTATTTAAATAAGCATCAGATTATGGTTAAATCACTTTAATTCAATCGAGTTTTTACACACAATATAATGGAGTTTTGCAGTGTTACCAATAGGATTAGCGAGAACACAGTACTGGAGACTTCTCATCCTGTGCATGAAGCTGTCTTGTGCACATGGTTAAATGACCCTTCAGTTACCTCAGGGAACCACCAGTCACTGGCAGCTGGTCCCTTATGATCTGTCACCGGGACAACCGGAGTGGACAAACAGAGCTGATTGTTTAATGGGTCAACTCCAACTAAAGACCAGCTACTGGTCTAAATATAATAATGATACATAATAAAATATAAATATTTTATGCTTTGTGTAGGACGAAGAGAAGAGTGTTCACAAAATAAAGTGAGTGAAATCTTCAGGGAATTATACGTGTACATTTGTGCCAGCATCAGAAACCATTGTAGAGAATGCTGACTTACATGATTGACTAAACAACTAAACAACATTTTAATGTTTGAAATAAAAATATTAATCTTTATTTCCGTCAGCAGTTGAAATTGTGTATGTCTCCTTCATCAGAGATGATCAGTTATCCAAAACACTGTCCTCTACTGGATAATAACAGGCATTTTGCAAGCATTTTTAAAGAGTTCATTGCTTTAAAATACATATAAATATTTGTGGACCAGTGGCATTTACTTACCAGCTTTCACAAGTTTTTGTTTGCATATTTAGCAAAGCAGTTGCCTGTTGATGCAAATAATTTTCCTGTCCATTGTGTTGTTCAATAGAGGTTATTGACTATGATAAAGATTTTTTTTGTCCTGCAGTTCTTGCTTCTGTTTCTTCATATGCCGATAAGCCTCCACTACACGCTGTCGCTCTTCCTCCATGATTCTCTGTCTAGCCATTGAAGGCTTGGCTGGATCTGAAGCTACTTTCTGACCAAGCAGTGAATTCAAAAGTAGATTCTTCGAAGACATCTAACAATTTAAAAGAGAGGAATATTGTTGCATTAGTATTTAATATAATAATATAATATTGAACAAACAATAAGATTATTTTAGACATCAGCAAGCAGGAGTAAAATGGGATACTAAATACAGAGAATAGCTCACAAGTCGGCTGAGGCAAAATAATACAATAAAGCTGATGTTATAACAGCTCACACTGATCTACAGACAACTCGTACCTGGGATTTGTCCTGAGCTTTTCTGGGCTTGACAGAAAGAGAAGGTGGAGCCATTGAAACTTCACCAAAAGGAACATCCTCTATAGACGAAAATATAACATAAAATATTAGCACGAACTGACTCACAAACCTTAGCTGAAACCCCATCTCTGTATCTGTGTTTTGAGATCTTGAGGTTTTATTTTCTTGTCAGGTGTACAAGGGCATAGGGTGACCAGGGGCTTTTAGTCTGGTTGTTGTTTGAGATTTCTTTAAATTTACAAATAAATGACTAACAATGTATTCATGAAAAACTTACCAACAAACATTTCTTTTTCCAACTTTGTTTCTTGTTTGTCTAATTTCTTCTGCTGCATCTTCAGTACTCTTTCTTTAGCATACCTGAAAGACAAAAAGACAAGTTTATCCTTGAGTTCAAAGAACAATTCAGATCGCAGACTAAAATTGTGGGTGAAAGTGGACCACAGGATGACTTGATGAGATATTTGTAAAGGACTGCAAGAAAATTATCATTTAAAATACACAGAAAATATTGATACTTACTGCTTCTTTTTCTCAGACTTGCCCTTGTCCGCACGCCTTTCTTGTTGGTCAGGGTCCAGCTCGGGCTTCCGCTCTACTTGGTTTTGGCTCAGAAAGAGGACATGTCTGGCAGCTGCTTCCATTCGCCTCAGATAAGCTTTTTCGCTCTCCCCCTTTCTCCTTTTGAAGTGTGGGACAGGTATGTCCCCCTCACCCTCTTGTGTGTTTTTGAGCTGTGAGGCTGAAACAATATGTATATGATAATCAGTTGCATTTTAAGAGCTAGTACCACACTGACCCATCTAACAGCAGCCTACCTTGTTTCAACTTTTTCCTCTTACGTGCTCCCGTCTTCATCTGTTCTTTACTCCTCATAATCTCTCTGAGTCTGAAAGGAATTTGTTCCATGTGGTCCTCTTTAGCTTTCTTGGTAGCTTGTTTCATCTTTTTCCTGCAATACAGAACATATTTCAAACTATTACCCTAAATATATACTATTACACGTGTATATAATCAATTCACAAGCAAGCTGATGTAAAACGCTGCATGTGACTACAATGACAACAAACAGTGGCTAATAGCTAATCTTATAGCTAGCATACTATTCTTTTTATACTAACCCTAATGGCTTCGATGTTTTGTTAGTTTCTTTAGAAGAAGCCATTACTTTGTTCCTTTTATTCTTCCCCATTTTCTTCTGTCTTTCAAATAAATGTACACAGTTTTCACATAAACATTAAACACGTGCGTTATCGTTGGAGAGCTCCCACTGAACACAACTTCCGGCTTCCACAATCACAATTGATGCCTCACTCTGCATATTTTAGGAATGAAACGCTGCGCTCTGCACATAGGCTGCTTAGCATAATATTACTTCTGTTTGCAAGAATATTAAATATTTGGCTCCGTGTCACCCTTGTTAGAAGGTATTTTGGGATGACTTGGGAAAACTCAATTCCCACTCAAACTCACACAGACGATCTTTGTGCAGTGTCTTTTGCTTGCATTTTCCTTTTTGAACACGTGGTGTCAGTGTTGAGTTGTAATTACAACCTTACGGGGCTATGGTACGATTTTGTTTCAAAAATATCCTTATATGAAATGAAATGCATCGGAATCTGAACAGCTTCATTTTAGCAATACACGTATTAACTTTTTACAAATCCCTTGTCCCCTAAAACACGTGCCTAAAATGACCCCCAGTTTAAACTGAAGCTGTTACTGAACCCTTAACGGATGAGCTCTTTCCGAAACTGAGACTCTACAGTTTGGTCTCTGCTTTCTGATTTACTCTTATAAGTGGTGAGAGAGGAATCTCTGATTTTAAATAATCAATATAGCCTTTTTATTTGCCATGAGTATCCATGTTTGCAGATTTAGCCTATTTCTCATAGGTTATAACTGCACAGAATGTTCAAAAGACTGACTGTTGTATGTGTTTCAAACTTTGTTGACTTTATTTTATTGCCAGTGGCTACACTATTGCATATGTGTTAAAACATCTGGCTTACAAGACCTAACCTTAAAATTTACTAAATTAACTATCCTCCTTATGGGAATCACATTTGCTGGAATGCCCCATCTCCCTGTCCATGAGGGCCCTTTAATGTTCAAATAGCTTAAATGCTGTTACTAATTTAAAATTTAACATGCACAAGCAGATTCATCCATTATAGGCCATAGATGTAGAGATTGTTAGATACAACATATTTTGGTTTAGGCTAGTGCCTTTACAAACAAGTAAAATAAGTTCACCTAAAATCTTTATGGCGTATCCTGTTTCAAACTTTAGTGATTTGTTGACATTATTTACCAATATCAGAGGCTCTCAAATGTTCTGAATGTGTCATGGGTATAAAACGAACAAAGCTGTAATACCAGTTTTCCTGTCCATACACAAAATGGGGTTTAAAGGCTGCACGTGTTGTTGTCATATGGGTAATTCTTGTGTAGCTTATAAAGACAATGTAGAACCAGGTGAGCTGCTGTATCTTTTGTGAGGCACACGAGAGAGGGATTACCCTGAGGTATTTAATACTCTTCAATCTGAGAAACTGCTGATGACAGGAGAAATGGGTCTGCTGGCGTCTTCTTCAAAGAAAGCCTGCATATATAGGTAATAGAAGAAGTGACAAGAATGACTGAGGGAGGGACACTGTGGCACTGTCTTCACATAACAACCTTAACTATTACCAGTGGTGCTAAAATTTAATTAGAGTAAAATATGTAAAAACATTGCTGTGGATGTGTGCAATGTGAAAGGGCTGCACATGTTACAGACGGCACAACATCCTCGGACAGTGTCATAATCCTTGCACAGGTAGAGTATAAAAGAGCTTCACGACTTATCATTTCATGAGATACTCTACGAATGACTGATCCTGCAACAAAAGGGGTAAGTATCACTATTCAGTCTGATATTTAGCTGTATTTATTTACCAATAGGCACTTCATAAATAGCATTTATTTGCAGACTATTGTAAACAAAATGTAATTCATAGATTCATCAGCATGTATAACAAAACTTGAATACATAATTTAAGTTTTTCATCATTTATTCTATTAGTAGTAACTTGTATATTTCATATTTTTTTAAGGTTCTGAATGAAAATTCAGTCATGTGGACTTAATTTGTAATGTCCATCTGAGATTAAAGGATTTGATGTGTTGTTGATGTTTGTAAACGTCACTGTAATCACACTACTTATAATATGTGTGTGATTAATACATCATAAATGTTGGTCATGAAAAAAATATTCTGAAGTGAAATAATGAATATTGTATATAATTCTTATGTCCATATCTAAGGCAAACAACATGAGTTTGAATGTGCCCAAAGCTGATGCAAAAACAGGAACTAAAGTCCCCCTCAGGGCCACAGGTCCTGGATCCCCCCGAAAGGCAGCTCCCAAGTTCAAACAGAGGAATACCCGTCAGTTCAAAAGCAAGCCCCCTAAAAGAGGTGTCATTGGGTATGTCTAAACTTCTGCTGTTTGATCACATTTTGTGCATTGTTTTCCAATCCAATGCTTTATTTGTATTGCACATTTTATAAACACTTTCGAAGTGCAAAGTTTTAAAGGTAGTTTGTTCTTTTTAGTTTTGGTGAGGAAATCCCTGGAATGGAAGGTCTGGGAATTGGTAAGTGCCAAAATGCTTAAACATTGTATTAAATGTATTAACCATCTCAACATCATGATGATGAATGTATGTTTTCTCTCTCAGACATCACTGTGATCTGCCCATGGGAGGCCTACAGTCATCTAGAGCTGCATGAGCTTGCACAGTACGGCATCATTTGAATCTCGCCACTTGATCATCAGTTTAGTTCAGTAAATTTTTATGTTTGTTTGTTTTACCAAATTGTGTCTTAAAATGTTAAAGATCCCTTACTAACAGCACATGCATCTTTACAATTGTGCAGCAACATAAATATTTTTAGCAATGTAATAATGTTAGCGTATATTCCTGCAATTGTATTCTTAATCATCATCTGCTTCACCAAAGATGTACTGTATATTGTACCTGAATTAAGCATATTTATCTGAGTTAATAAATAATGTATTCAGTATTTTTTTCAAGACAGAAACGTAATGAATTTTTCTTTATCACATGTATTTCAGGATTGACAAAGCCATTAGGTTATCAGAGTAAAACTGTCCACATTCAAAATCTGGGAAAGTAAAAACATACACACATTTCACAGTCCTGGCATGTAATAGTTCCTTGCATAGGACTTGTGCCAGTGAATACTCTCTATCAGTCGTGTAGTGATAAACAGAGCCACCATTTGGGCTCCTAGTACTACAATGGCCACAGTCCCGATGAGGCCTTCGTGTTGTTGAATCCAGCGGGATATGCCTCCGAGACACCCTCCCAGGAAGACCACACTCTGGGCCGTGAACTCGTCCAGTGTCTGCGCCCCCACCCCGCACTGAGAGTTCCACACAGTCCCATTCTCCAGGGGGTCCACACAGCAAGTCGCAGGTACGCCACAGGCCAGCACACCGGGCGCAGAGCAGTTGTAATATCTATAGGGAAAGTTAACAGTATTAGAAAAAAACAACAACAAACAAACAAAACAAAAAAAACCCAGATACACAATGTGACATTTTGGGGTTAAGCCCTTCATCAGACTTGACCCCGAAAAGTCACATTGTGGTCCCATTAAAATAATAATTAAAAAAAAATTGTCTGTTTTTTCTTTTCTACAATTTTTGTCTTTGGACCCAGCACACAGTCACAACTTGTATCAGATGTGCATGTCTTTACCAGTAGAAAACAACATGTTAACTTAAACTTAATTCTGATCCCAGGGAAAAGGTCCGCACTCAATACCGATTTTGAAGTGTACTTTTATTTAGCACATGGTACAATGATATATAAGTCCCATAGAGGGAACTTTGTTTATCACCTGAAAAAAAAAACTTTGCCATATCCATATTGTTACCACAGTATTATGAAATTTAATGTACACTTAAACACAGAATTAGTCTTTTATTTTATGTGGTCTATAGCCTACTAATTACAATGGAGGTCAAGAGAGTTCCAGAAATGTCCAGGAAAGATCCAAATTTGTCCCATTCAATTATCAATATTTTTTTCCCAAAGCTATACCTTCTCCAATGAGTATTTAGTTTGGATTTGTATTGATTAAATCTATACATATATGCTTTATTTTACAACCCTGGTTAATCTGACAATTGTTGCAGTTCCCAACTCCACTTAAGTCTCTATTCAAGAATGTGAGTAGTCTTCATTCCTTTCCAGTACATAGTTCGCAACTTGATGGGATTTTCCTTCACTTGCTGAATACTATTCATTATATTACATAAATACTACAGCAGGCGCCATGTTGTACTCACAATAACTCAATTCTCAAACAGGTAACTGCAAAACTACCCTAAATACCAAAATATCTCCAAAATAGAGAACATTTTCTTACAGTTCTATAGAATTTTGAATAAAAGCATCTGTTTTCATTTATAATTTTTCTAAGATGATTTAATGGTCAGGACATTAAACAGTTAATGATGACAATGCTAAAGTGGGGAGAGACATTCATTAAACTGAACTGAAGGTGAGACCTCATAATGCTGAGGCTGGCACAATTAGAGAGCATGAAAATTAGAGTTCAGCAATCAAACCTCTTGGTAAATATCTAACTTACCCACAAGGCATATTAACTAACCCCTATTAGTCTGTTTTACTCACATGTTAATCTCCCAGTCGCGGTAGGTGTCTGCCCCACAGCACTGCAGGTTGGTCTGTATCTCATCCACTATAAACCTCAGATCCAGATCGTCCTGGTACCGCTCCATAGCCGCCAGCATCCCAGACCGTAAGTAGTTCCCAATCTGATCCTGTAGACTGTACGCTAAAATGGCCACCACCACCTGAGCTGCAATGAGGGCCAAGACCACTGCAGAAAAGACCTTGAGTAAGCAGCTGTTTTCTCTTAGGGCACCCACACATCCAGTGAGACAAAGCATGAACAGCAAGAGCCCAACAGAAACTAACACCAGCATCGGGTCCGTTCCTATGCTTCCAATCTTCTCTTGTGCGAATGACTCTTTGCTCACAAGGCCCCACATGCCCAAACCAAGCACAATAAGGCCAAGGATGGTAAACAGAAGGTTGCAAAAGAAAAGAAAATATTTCAAAAAGTAGTCCATTGCAGTGTAACGATGAAAGTATTCAATTTTCGTGTTTCTAGTATTCTCTCCATTCTTAGTCCCTTCTTGGTTTGTGTTGTTCTGGGTATCCTCCTCAATATCCCCGTGTGCTGGACCTGCCTTAAAACACAAGGTAAGGAATTATTTGAAATATATAGAAAAAAATACAAACAAAAACTAAATACTTTGATGTTTACCTTTGGCAGGAGTGGACTAGTCTCATTCTCAGTGAACTCACCCTTCTGCCAAGGAAAAGTGATTTTTCTTGTAAACTTCCACATGGTTTCTGCTTAAGTGAGATGTGTATCCCTTTATAGTAGCAGGAGGAATACCAGTGGGATGAATGCAGTACATAAGGATAACATTTACTACGCAGGAGGCAGTGAGCATGTGAGCAGTGTAGTGATGGAGTACTGTGGCCTCTGGCTGCGGGCTGTGGGATTTCAGCATCATGTGAGAGTCACAGTGTAGAGGATTAGATATTGCTCTAATGCACTCCAGTTTAAGAAGAGTTTAATAGGGGACAGGAATGTACTGTTCATTGTTCAACAATTTTACATATTACACACAGTGGTTACATCATCACTACCAGTATCATTGCGATCTTTTGTAACATTTAGTTGATATAATAAACTGCATAATCTGTATCTGTATCTGTATGCTACTTAAATTCAACAACTGAACTGTTGTATGTTGTAAAAATGTGTATCATTATAAATACAGTCATTATTAGGGCAAATTTATCTTAATTCAGAATATTCAGTCACCTTGTCCAAATAGAGAAGGTTGTGTCAAGAAGAGCCTGTGATATACAACAAATAGCCAAACAAACCAAGCTAGGCAGAAGAAATGTACTAACTCAAGCTTTATAAAACAATATGTATATACCTCCATGAAGTTTAACTGAATTCAGAACTATTTATTCTCGTGTACCTCTTCTTATATTTCTGTATGGGCATATCACGTGTACGTGTGACAGGCTCTGGTCCAGCTATGATGAGATGGAATATATTGGGTAATTTGAAAAACATCTTTTCCACATGTATCCTCCACAGGTCTGCTCTGGTATGTTCAGTGGAAACACTGTGATGAACAAAAATGCTTCCTGGGCCCCTGCACTCTTTCAGGTGAGACAATAAAGAGCGGCATAAAACCTGCTAGATGCAGTGCTATGTTGTGACCATTGGGGGGAACCAGAAGGACAGACGTATTCATTTCATCTTATTAAATATTTCAATTAAAAGAAAATACTATTTTGTTTAGGTGTCATGGTTAAACATGTAATATGAAAGTTACTGATTAACATTTTATTACATTATGCCCATATCAGGAAATGACTAAGGTCCATGCAAATGGTAGTATCAATACACTATTCATGTATATGTACGTGTACATATAGGAGAACAGGAATTGTAGCAGATTCAATAGGAGACCACATAAGAACTTCTCATTTTGGTGTGTACTGGTCTCTTTTTCTGACAGTACTGTTTTTTACTGCACAGAAGCCTGCTCATATTTCTGTCCCATTCACCAAGTACCAAGATCATTCAAAAAGAAAACTTCATTCACAGTGGCTTTACTCCTCCACATGTAACACAGCCATATGTTTATCTTTACCTTATCATAATTGGTGAAATTGTCAGTACTTACGACTTAAGCTACAAACATAATGATATTCATCTTCTTTATCGCAGACAGTGAATGCTTAATGCCCAAGAGATCAAATCTTCTGCAGATGTATGGGACATTTGCCCACTCGGACTCACCTCAGACAGCTCATATATCAAGATTCTGTAGATAAGCAAAGAATTTATCATCAATATCAACTTCCAAATCAGTGGATAATCAATTTTAACAAGGTCTAATTGTGACACAAGATGTTTTATTTTTATTTAGGTGGCAAATATACCCGATTGCCAGTGTCAGTTGTATTGAAAAATATGGTGTAAAACTTAGAGTTAAGAGTAAAGCCCCTTTCAAGTGAGTTACAAACTTCTCAAAACTCACAATGGAAAAGCATTATTTATGGTTAGGAAAAACATGTGTGCCTCAAAACAGAGGTTCAGATCTACAACAAAATGTATTAATTGTGGAATGTACTGATAAGATATTCCAAAGATATAATACATTGTAGTCATTAAGTATGCACTTTTTGGTGGATGGTCCATTATCTGCTTGTCTCCATGGAAATGCTTTGCTTTTCCTGGATTGTTCCACCGTATGGCATTTAATTTAGCTCCAAGTCACAACACAAGTGACAACCAGCAGGCCAGATTAGGTCAGAACTGTGGAGAGGCTAGCCCACTCACAGTAAAAATGCATGTTTTAAGGAATAAAAATAAACATCCTGAATAAATGAAATGTAAGATAGATATCTTTAAAGTCATGCTGTGGAACATTCCAGGTTAAGTAACAGGCAGTGGATGCTCCAACCAACATAGTGCACCTTTAAAGCACACCAAGCTCACATTGCACTAAAATACAAATTGACTCTAACTGATGCGACCCCTGTGTGTCAAGTGCATCTTGTTGTTGTGAAGCTTGTAGGATTAGATCACCCTTGACTGATTTTAGAGTCACAAGAGGCCTGCCCTGTGATGGTCCAGATGCAGAGCACATTGTATTACAGTAGGCAGTAAGAATGCTTCCCTGGAAACAACATCAAACACCTCCACTGGATCAGGACCCATACAAGTTGCAGTTGCCACACACCATTCATCAAATTCAATGCATCTAAATCTTATTTTAATACATAGATTATAGAAACCCCCTTGGGACTGCATATTTTGATACTGATCACAAACAGAAGTAATGTGCAAATGTGATAGCCCTTTTATTGAAAAGGAGGAGTATGTGTCACCGCCTTTCTTGAGGTGGGAGGTGCAGGACAATGTGCTATAAGAGAGCTGAAGTCCAATATTTCCATGTGACATTGTCAATGGAATAGTGTGGGATACTGAATTTGGAGGAGTCTACATACTTATGCACAAGGTAACAGTAAGATTCGTATTCTTTTGGTATTGAATATTTTGTATAGGCAATACCATTTTATCAGTGTGTCACACTGTAATATAATCCTTATTTAAATATTCTAATTGAATTTTAGAATCAAAATATTGAAAAGAAAGGACTGATATGTTAATAATTTGTCTTCTTCCCACTCCTCTTAGAGCTTAAATATGAAAAAAGTCAAATATGCATTAAGTGTACTGGATATTTATTTCTTGTGTTAATTATCTGCACAGAATAAATAAATAAAACATGTTTATACCTTTAAGTTTTTCAGATTATGCCTTGGCATATTCTCCTCTTCTAATCGTTCTGATTAGAGGAGGATTGGTAATGGTAAACTGGTAACGCTTCTATGTTTTATTATCAAAGGATGTTGAAACTTGTGATCCTGACTTGGTTCATCACAATTTGTGCATCCCAGAGATGGACACAAGAAACTAAAGGTGATATATTTTCTGCAACTATTTATTTCAGTATTCAGATAATCTTAATCATCTCCTTTATGCATTTCTAATTCAGGAAAGACATGCTCAAATTTAACTCAAGTGTTGGACAACTGGAAGTTTGCAATTTTAACACATGTCAAGGACATGCTGATACATGACCACGTCTCTGTTCTGCCTGAGTACAGTCGGTGAGTTGGAGCTATATTTTTATGAACCAAAGGATTACGTTACAAGGGGACTTTTACAAAACTGCTTTATAAATAACAGCATTATCGAGTTTGCCAAAAAGTTAATGAAAAACATGAATTGTATTGTGTAATAGATTTGACTCAAAATAGAAAAAATATTATACGTCACTTAATGCATCTGTGTTCAATTTATGTTTATTTTGCTAATAATATTATGTACTAAAATCAAAACCTTTCATCCCCCACACCCTTTGCATGTTTGTTTCCAGGATTCAGCCTCTGTCTCTTGCCCTTGGGGACCTATACACACAGTTCAACAGACTTAAAGAGGAGCTAAGGGAACTCACGGCCAATGTTGACAAAGTGGAGAGTGTTGTGGATGAAATCAAAGATGGCCGACTCCTTCCCGGACGACTCTATCAAAAGGGCCCTCCCAACGTTGGACTGAGAGTGCAGATGGGGGCCCGAGCCAGGCCTGGGGCTGGAACTCTGCTGAGGAGAGCAAGGAAAAGAGGCACCCATACAGATTAGATTAGTGTATCATAAAAGTCATAAAAGCTATATGAGAGTCCTGAAAAGCATTATATAAAAATGTATTATATGCATATGTTATTTATAAAATATACTCATATCCATACAGTTAAATGTAATCTGGAGGGTGAAATGTAAACAAAGCCACCTCAAGATGGCAGCATTTGTAGTCCTTAATATCATTACACAACAACATTAAAGTTTCTCCATTGCTCTTGGTGGTATCTGGATTGTCAAAACACTTTACCATCATTTGGAAACTAACATATCACATTATTGTTTATATCTGCTTAAAATGATATTGACTTGCAGCTTTATGTTCCCATGTTGCATCCATTGGTAGATGCTTTCAGTGTGTCTCCAGATGAGTTCTGAAACACAAGTGTTTAGTTAGAACAGCCCGGACGTTTGACCTGGACACTCGAAACAGACACTGTTGTTTGCAGCTTGAGTATTGAAAACATGAAAAAAAAAAAAAAAAAAAGTTTTTTTTCTATATCATTGACACATATAATAAACAACACCTGAACTCATAACTCTATTAGATTATAGGTGCATATTAATGTCAAATAACCATTTAAAAATGTAAAAAGCAATTTAGGGGGAGTCACGAGGTTTACCCTAAATTTAAAGCAATGCTGCTCTCTAGCGGACAAAGAAAACTAAACTCTTCTAATAAAGTAAAACAACATCATTAAAGAATACTCACTCACAATTTTTTAAATAGCAACAGTATGATAATCCATAAATTCAGATTTAGTCATTGAAAAATTCACCATAGTGTGGTCACAACGTGAAACCAAACCTACCAAAATCCTTTCCAAATGTTGCAGTCAAAACCGGAATTTATGTCGGCTGTCGTCCAGAAAGCAAGGAGGCTATTAATTAATTGCATATTACATGAACAATAGTTTGCATTAGATTTTATTATTTTTTTCTCTAACAGATGAGAAATGCAACTCACTAAAAATAATTTGGAGAAGCTTGCGTAAAGTGTCCAGCAGTAAGCGGAAATACGCACAATTTAGTCTTCAAAATAAAAAAAAGCTAATAAAATGTATAAAACTACGTTTTATTTTGAAATTGCTATTTGAGAAAAGTCTGGAAGTTCATTCAGTTTGACAATGGTGCAGTTTGTCGCTTAGTCCTTCTGAGGCAAACCCAGCGTGTACTAATGCGCATCTGTGACCGAGGTTCTTCAGTGAAACATTTCTTCTTTAATTCTGACACGTGAGGGGACAAGGTGTCAAGAAAAATGGAACCCGCTGTTTTCCTGTTTCTGCTCACCAGCTGATGTGTACAAGATTTTTGTGGCTCTCTAAAAGGTGGGATGGAAGAAAACACTGCGTGCCCAGTCACCATTCTGTTATTCTGTCAAAAAGGCGCGCTCAAAACTGGAATTTTATTTTGACCTTTTTCTGTCCAGGCTACAGCTGTCTTCTCCGACGCGCCGAGGAGGAGGAGGATGCTCTATGCCCCACATGTGATTGTCATGTCTTCAGCCTTTTTCAATCCCAGCTTTGCCTTCAGCTCCCACTTTGATACAGGTAATCACAAACAGTCCAAAAGAAAGCCAGTTTATTCGCTGTATCTTTTTGATGCCATTGCTGTTAAGCCTACCTCTGTGTGGTGTCATGGTTTTAGTCAGCAGCAGTCATTGTTCCCAGCTCCTATATGGCATCTATGTAGAAAAACATTACAGATAAAGAGGCATTTTCTCTGTGTTTGCGCGTATCTGTGCACTTTTACATGTATGCCAGCTCTCTGCATATGAACAATATGTACTTAGAATTGCAATGCATGTCTTTGTAAAGGGGTGACCTTCTGACAGCATACATGGTTGTGTTGTGTGGTGATAAGGCTAGTAGGTCTAAATCTTATGGTTGTCTCTGTTTGATATTATCCTTGTAGCAGGCAAAGGGTATTCCAGGTGCTACTGCTGCAGTGCTACAGGACCACAGTGCAAGAAGGCATGGTTGCATTGACAGACACAGTGAGGACTTGAATTAAGACAGAATAAATAAGCGTGTGTGAGTGTAAACAGGAATGAGAGAGTCCCCGCACAGGCTGCAGTGTGCCTAGCATACCAATGACACTGAGCCCAGCATACCTCTCCAATTACAGCCTCTATCTGTTCCCTGCACACTTGTACGGTCTCAGGGATTTTTGATATGCTGCTGTCCGGGGTCCTCACCATCATCTGCTCCAATTGTCAGCAGTTGACAGTCACTTCTTTGCTCAAAAATCTAATGAAATGTTATTTAACAGCATAAAACAGTCAACCACTCAAAACATCCGCTACCTCACTTCAAATTGGCTTTTGTATGCATATAACAGAACAATTTTAATATGCAATGTCTTATAACCTTCGTAATAAACCTATGCCAAGAGATATGGCCATAGCTTAGTGTATGATTGGACATAATAGGAGATGAACTGTCTGCGCAGGGATTTCAAATATGTCTGTGTCTGTCTTCTACCATCCTCTTCAGCAGTAGTTGCCAGTTTATGTTGCCTTGTGTTATAGCAGTGTAATTTAACTAAGGAGCACTGAACCGATCTAACCATCATTTGTGTTGCTTCGCTGCATATTGACTTTTCTATAGGAAAAAGCAAAATGAGGTGGTTTGCAATTTTAAGCAGAGACCCTGCTTCAACTTTCCTTGATAATATGAGCACAATTCTTGACCCTTTACTGTCAAAAGGGAGTGCTGCCAGTTTTGGTCAGATTTAAGCAGCAGTAACAGAAGCCATAATGTGTCTCTTGTGGACATTCCTCCTTTTCCTGTATGCTGCAATATGATACCACTGGTCAATGTTGTATCATTTAATTTAAAGCAATACAGCATCTGTAATTGAATGCTGTCTGGTTTTCTGCAACCTATATTTTTCAGACATTAAAACATCTGTAGTTCTATATAGAGTTTGTATGTGTTTTGAGATTTATGGGAGGAGATAAGGAGAATGATAACAGCTTATGTCATAGCGATGTACATTGCAGCCAAGTGCAAGATGTCACCAATAATCTGATACATTCCTGTAATAGGATAGAGAAGTAATGTTGCCTAGGTGACAGAAAGGGGTGTGTCGAAAGGGACCAATCATTCTTCTATTGTTCAAACAGCAGGGGCACAGAAAACCCAATTATAGCCTACTCACATCTATATTTACAAACCTGCAACATTTCACATGGTTTTAATAGTAGCAGTCCTTTTACTCATTCTGTGATACTGGGGGCTAGTCGGGTACAACATGTGCCCACCACTGTGACATGTGTTCACACATTTGCAGACGAATGAACAAGGAAGGAAGAGGAGGCCGCTGCTGTTGTCTTGTGGTCCTTATGTAAGACCTGCACATGGATGACCAGATCTGTGCTCACATGTGAGGTTCTGCATCACTGACTATTTTCACTTCACACCTGGTACCAGTGTCTTCAGCACCAAGGACAGCTCCCAAGTTATTGAGGCGTCTTAGCAGGTGACATAACATAATGAGAAGCAGCTTAAAGTGGTGTGGTGTGGTGTGGACTGATGTGTATTATAATGTTGATTTTACAATGTGTGTGTGTGTGTGTGTGTGTGTGCGTGCGTGCGGAGGATCTGCCATAGGCTTCTTCCTAGAATGTTCCACTGTATGGTATTAAACTCGTCTGTGTTGTATTTATTGAAAAAAATATTCTTATTTGAATTACTTCTCCACAGATTTGGCCTGTAATTTCACCTGGTAGGATCACCTGCTTGTCTCTGGGGTCCAGGCCTGGGAACGGACTGGGTCCCGAGCTAGACTTCAGGTCAGAGCCGAACAAGTCCAAGATTAGTCCTGGTTTAGTCCTGGTTCAGTCCTTATTTAGTTCTGATTTAGTCCTGGTTCAATCCTGGTTTAGTCCTGGTTCAGTCCTGGTTCAGTCCTCTGATTTAGTCCTGGTTCAGTCCTGGTTCAGTCCTAGCTTTGGTCCTGGTTCAGTCCTGGTTTAGACCTCGTTCAGTCCTGATTTAGTCCTGGTTCAGTCCTGGTTCAGTCCTAGCTTTGGTCCTGGTTCAGTCCTGGTTTAGACCTCGTTCAGTCCTGGTTCAGTCCTGGTTCAGTCCTGGTTCAGTCCTGGTTCAGTCCTGATTTAGTCCTGGTTCAGTCTATATGCGGCACAATAGTCCGGCATCTTTGCTCGCTGATACTGTGAAAAAGCTTGGTGAAATGACATTCAGTGATACTTTAGACCATGGAACCCTTGTACCAAGATGGCGGCAGTATTAATGCATGCCAAGAAGGTGAATGCGAGATCTACCGTTCTGTATCTATGGTCTTTATGGAAAACACCATACTGTGGAACATTCCAGGCAAATTAACATCTCCACGGAAACAAGCTGATGGCTGACTTTCTACCAGAAGTGTTACATAGTCCCTTTTAGCATGTACTAGTGTTAGACTGGTTTCAGATTTTTCCTTGTTCTACTCTTCATATATTTGCTTGTTGCTTTAGTTGAGTGACAACTGGTTTGTTGCTTTGGTTGTAGTTGTCCAACATTAGTGAATCTGATTCTTGAACCATATTAAAGGACATGTAATTGTCAAGATCATATTTATCATTGCATACTACAATGTTTGTGTCTAATATCGCGCATTGATGTGGTTGTTCACTGGTGATTTGAACTACAGGTTTTAGAAGTGATCTGAAGGACAGCAGATACAATACACTGATCCAAACAGCTGAGCGTGCAAGGCTGTCTGTAATCACTCTCCACTGAGGCCTGGAGGTGGCAGTGCCAGCTTGTGCTCTGCTGCTGATCTGGGTGACAGCACACCATAGTAAAGCAGAAAACCTCTGTATCTACATGGCAACCAATGACAATGATAAACCAATCAAGCTGCAATAAGTGAAGTAGTGTCTCTACATTATTGACTGGTCTAGTACGAGCTAGTCCCTTGCTGTGTATTGATTATTTATATCTCTATTTGTAACAGCGAGCACTTTAGTTACATTAAGTCTGCCTCTGGGGAAATTTGAATAAGAATGAAGTGGAGGTAATAACTATAGGAGAACCATTTATGTCTCACTGTGCAAATATAAAGGCGGGTATGCTTCGGTCCTGTTTTAGCTGATAGAAAATGTCATACAAAATGGAAACGCAATTATGAATGAAGTAAAGGGATGCAGTCTTAAACGTGCTGGAATTCACAGACATACAGGAATTCCTTTGTGTGTATCATGAGACTAAATGTCGTCTCCAGCACATTTTTGCATGTCTGCTTATGGTCCACACATGCATTCAATTTGTACTTAGCCCGAGGCAGAGCATGTGTCAAGCTACTGCAGAGACTGAGCGTGAAAATCAATAATAATCTGTAAATGATTAATAGATAGAAGAAATATTATTATGGAAAAGTAAATGGAACTGTTCTGGTCTTTGTTGGATTTATCGTAGCAATGTAAAATCGGTTTCTGGGGGAGGGGGGTTATGGATGGATGCCCTCAACAAGAAGTAATCATTTTGATGTGATAAGGTCCTGGTTTAGACCTGTTTTTTTGTCTTAGTCTGTACTTGGACAAGTTAGGGTAGCTATATTGACAAAAACAATTATGAATATTTATTATTTTAATGGCTATACTCAGACAATAATAAGGCAATCCATCAAAAATGTGCTACACTGTTCCTTTAAATGTCATATTGTACGAAATGGAGATGAGAAAAATCACATAATCCCTTTGAAAGACTGAAACATTGAAATTGTGTTTTATTTTGAATGTAAGCAATTGTTTTTGATGTTGTTTTTGATAAATCTATATTATTTGATGTTACGATTTGACATATCTTCAAAACAACCATTGTGATATTATATAATGTGTGTGTGAGACTTTTAGTGATCTGTGGTAGCTTGCCCTCCCCCTTCAAGCTAATGACAGTTATCATGTGTCTCTGCTGGCCACAACAGCCCTCTCCCATCTGCACAGAGTCACACAATTCCAGGAGAGAGACAAAAAAGGTGTTAATTGTGGGTAATTGAGGCAACGTACCCTACCATTATTCATATTGTGCTGTCCACTCATTTTGGATTCTTCCATTTATTATTTTCACAACACACTGACAGCAAAATTGATCTTAGTTCCATGAGTGAGTAATAGACCTCACAATCAAGGGAATCACAAAGGCAATTTCTTGGCCACAGTATCTCTAAGTGTTTTTGTTTTTTTATCTGGAATAGTAATATAATAACATGCATAGATTTGGCTAAAAACGAAGCAACGCAAAGGGATGTGAAAGAGAAGAACTGAAAAAAGCACATTGAAAACAGCTTCAGCTGACCGAAGTGCTTCATATAAAAGTCAACAACAAAAAAAACAAAAAACAAATATACAGACAATACGATACACAGCAATATATCCTGTCTAGCTAGTATTACAGATGATAGTTGGTTATTTTCTATTACACAATGATTCATAAGAGCATAAATCAATAGGCTATTACAGAATATAATATAAAAATAATCCTGATGGTACTTCATCATGGCCCCTGCTGTTAGATGGTGTTACACTACAAAGCAAGTGACCACTGAGTGTACAAAGTGATATTTTAGGTGATATAAAGGGCAACTGGAAAAATTGTGTTCAGAGTCAAGGGCCAAATTGCTGTGGCGATTGGGGACAGGATCTGAGCACATCCAATACTGCAACTCTTCAATTGTCAATTTGTTTCTTTATCGCAGCTCTGTGTGAGTATTCTAAACACTATCTTTCAGTGTCATAACTCTCAACGCAGCAGGAAACTCCCCAAAAGAGGCAGCTGGAGGAGCTCTCCATCCCTGCAGCAATGTCCTCAATGTAGAGTGGGAGCTTATCTGTACCCACTCAAATATAGATTTTGATGTAATAAGTATGCAGAATATGTAGGCAATGTTTGTATGTGACTGTATCACTCAAGTTGTCTGAAAGGCATGCTGTCTTTAATTGTATTGATTCAAATGGTTGTCCACATCTCATGTTCTTACCCCCTCTATCCCTCGCTCTGGGTAAAGATGATTTGATTGCAGTGGTGTGGAGTTTGGCCCTGTGCCCACTCTGCAGCCCCTGCAGCACTGCCAGCTCTCGGATCATGCTTGGACAAAATCAACATGAGAACTGGGAAGAGTGTGGATTATTTGTATTCTTGTGTAGACGACCAAACTGTGAGGCAATACGTTTGTAATCATGAAACCTCTCTATCGAAACCAGCCTCTTTAACCTCAACACGTCTAACTATAGTAGCACTTGTCTGTTGACTCAAATTAAACCACATAGCCAGCTTTAGCTCATCATGTGAACCACTCATATCTCAAAATGTTTGTTCTTTCAAATCATTGTATCACCATCTTATTGGCTCAAATGCTACTTAGACGATAGTAACTCTGTTGGTAAAGTGTTCGTCCACTTATCCATTGCAAAGTTTAGCTGTGCAAATCCCACTCCCATTGAAAAGTATTGTTCTTGTATCTTTGGGCAAAACACGCGTCAACTCGTGTGTGCGTATGTAAGTATATAAATATGTATATAAATGGGTGAGTGGTTTCTTGATGTCAAGTGTTTTGAGAGCCTAGACGGTAGAAAAGCACTGTACAAATGTGACCATTCAGTATTGTTATATGGAAACATCAATTACATTTCTTTTTTCTCTGTATACTATGCATAGTTTGTTCACCTTGTGTTTTCAAATGTAGGGAAATAAGTTTTTATTTGAATAGATCTATCCAGTGCAGGAGTGGAAAACCTTTGCCGGATACATACTTTATTTATGACCATCAGCAGCCATGCAAAGCTGTCCCACATATCACATCCTTATCACAAGCACACATGCAGTTACATTCTGACACAGCTAACCCGTCGTCTCTCTGCTTACCTGTCCCTTGCTGTAGGACAATCCTCTATATTTCTACTGTTATTGCTTTCTGTCACTCCTTCCTGCAATTTCATGAGGCTGGCTCAGAGTTTGCCTTCTTTTCGATTTGCAGCCTTATTAGCCGTGGATCGAAATGTTGTATCCATGGAGCTGGAAACCAATTTGTTTATGAGTAATGAGCAAAACACTGCTGTTATGCCATGCTCTCTGTAAATATGGCTTTTATGTATTTATTTTCGATTTGCAAACGTTGTCAGTGTCTTAAAAATATGCATGTCACTCATTTGGAGCTCACTTCTACTCAGGGAATATAGATGCCATAAACCATATGCTGTTGGAGTACGTGACAATACTTCTTGATGGCAGTTTCTTCAGATTATAGATTATTGTTAATTTTGGAGATGTTTGTAGGGTTGGTCAATAATGGCAATTTTTATTTTATTTTTTCTGAGTATGCCACTTAACTTTTTTTTTTTTTGACAATATTATGGCAAACTATTCAAAAATTATCTTTTGTCACCTTTTAAAAAAATAAATTGGTAATAAATTGGTAGTAGCACCACATAATATTTGTAGTATTGAGGATTTTATTCTACTTTAGAACAAACTCTGGTTACAAAACAGATACAGAGTTAAGACAAATTAAACAACAACAAGGAGAAAGCAGTTCCTAGAGTTTTCTTTTTCTCTCCCTACCAGTACTTCTGCTTCTACTTAGAGCTGTTGCCATACCCTCTTTAAATAAGTTAAATGATGCACATGCCAGGAATATTTTAAGTCCACTACAGCAACAAAGATAACACAGAGTTGATGAGGCACCCCTCAGTGGACTGAAGACACAAGCTGTACCCTCAACATATTGTTTTTCTCTCAAGTGAAGAGTGACCAGAGGTATTGACTATACTCAGAAATATGACGGTTGACCTAATAGGCTCTCGCTCACCTGCCTCATGTGTACTGTCCTGTTTTATTAGCTGTCCTTGAATGAGCCGTGAGTCACTGTGACCCCTGATTCAGCTCCTGTCATCTGGCACCATCTGCACATTTCCTCTGTACTCCTTTCTTCTCCTTTTCTTCTGCTCATTTCAATTTGACACTGGAAGACAACAAAAGTTCAGCTGGGGACTGGGCATTTGTCTGCTTTTATTGTCATGTATATTGTGCTTTTTTCCTTGTATTTAGTCATAAAACTATCATACATGAATTATTATTTTACATTTTGTCTATAGTAAATCAAAATATTGATTTAGAATGGCTTCATAATCAAAATGGGTTCAGTGATAAAACTGCATAAATGATTTTCTGTTGTATTGTACCAAGGAGCTAATTAAATGTATTTCTATGTTAGAGTCTATATTTTTCAAAGAATCACTCCCTCAAAAGCAGGACAATGCAAACTTATGCACAACATGCATACATTCATCTACATTGAGTTATTACATGATGAGGAAAAAATGTTAAAATGTTGACTTTGCATAATTTGTCTTTTGTGATGTGATAACTGGGAGCACTGGCAACACTATGAGTAAATAAAATGTCCTTCATAGTAGATATCTTTGCTTGCTATCAGTGTTTGACTTTTATTGCTCCCTGTTACAGTAGTCTCCATGGTAATGTGTTGGTGGCTGCATGCCCACACACTTTCACACTTAGAAAGGTTCATAGCTTCGGTCTGTCCTGTTTGCATTGGCTGTTCATCTGTCCCTTTGTTATAGCTGTAAGTTAGAACCAGGGATTTTAGCTTACAGAACATACTGGGAACAATGTGTACTGTTCCTTGGCTCATGTCTGCAGGATCCCTGTTACAGAGAGACTCAGCCCTTTATGCAGCATATTACATGTGCACGCTGCAGTAAAGCAGCACCTGGAGTTAGTATAAGAAGGATGGAGAAATCTCTAAGGTAATATAAAATCATGTTGCACAAACATAGTGCCCCACAATGATGCCTATGCTTTCTCTTCTATTGTAAGTTCTGACATTTAATGAGTCTTGTTTGTTATTCGGTGTTTTTAAAGTCTATCAGACTATTTCAGACACAAGTATTCTGATCACTGATTGTTTATTTTTACATTTTGTTTACCTTGAAACACCTGTCCAGGAGGCAGGAGGACTTACAGATAGATTAGTAGGGATGCAACAATACTCAATGTAATATTTAATAATTCAATACGACCCTCACTTTACAGTACACATATGTGTCTCAATATGTGAGTGACACATATGAAAGAAAACAGCTCCAACATGGCCTAGGTCTGCGATATCCTAACAGAGAACAGGCAGCGGTATTGAATAATTTATGTTTATTTCATAATTACCACAAAAATAATAGAGATAACATTTATTTTTATATTTCTTAGGCTTCAAACATACATAGAAATTGAATCAATAGGACATAACGATCCTAGCTCCCAAATAAGGCAACCATTCTAATTTGGTAATTGCAGCCAGGCTATTCGAATTGTGATAGTGATAAATCATGTAGTTGTAATACTTCTCATAGTAAGTGGACTACTATACTGTTGTAGATTTGCACTAAACATTTTAATTAGTCTCTCTCGTGTTTGTTGAAAAGTGAATATCCAAACTCTAATTGCATCTACTGGTAGTATCAAACTTCTTGCCTCCATGATTCAAAGAGCACAGTGTAATTAAGCCACAGGGGATCACTTCCTATTCACACCACACAGCCTTATACAGACGAATAATAGACTGAGAAGAATTCAAATGAGGGTCACATGGCTGTTCCCCTAGGCAGCTCATGAAATGGTTACAAATAAACAGCGTGTCCAATAATTTACCTTTTATTACATATTTACTTCTTGTTGTCCTGCCTGCTGCCGTACCATTTGACTTGCTTGCTTGTCACCTAGGTAACCATGTTATATGTGGCTGTGTTGCAGATGGGGCACCGCTGAGTGAGCTCTCCTGGCCGTCCTCACTGGCTGTGGTGGCTGTGTCTTTCTCGGGCCTCTTCACCTTCGTCTTCCTGATGCTGGCCTGCCTCTGCTGCAAGAAGGGAGACATTGGGTTCAAGGTGAAACTGCTGCCCTCTGCTGGTTTAACCCCCAAGTGTGCCCAGATACACTTACATTTTTATATCATCTTATTCTGAAGATTTTAGTGATGTATTTGGCACATTGAATCAAAAAATGCGCTCATCAAATCAATGCTGGCACAGTTGTCTTTTGTGTCTAGCTGTGGGTGGATGTTTTAGTTGCTATTGTTGATCAGATACTGTAAAAACATTTATGCCAATTTGAGCAGCTTCTGAGAGCTATCAACAACAACGCCATATGAGAAGAGGTCCATACGCTGCTACTCTGCCAAAACTGAACGTAATAAAAACAATTTTACCTTGAAGGCAATACATTTTTCTATGATTTTTCTGCTGGGACTTGTGAAAGACTGCAAAATATAAGTGATTCTATTGCCCAGAGACAAAAGAGTAAGCTATTAATGTTCATACTAATAGCAATGGTTGTCATAAATTTTATTAATTTGTAATTGTATTACAGGATTAACTCACTAAACTAAAAACCTTTTCTTGGCACACAGTGAAAAAGAAATAGTCAAAGAATTTAAGAACATTGGCATTCCCATAGACTCATCTTAATTTTAAGTTTTATTGAAACAAACTATAAAATATTAGATTTAGTAGAAGTAATCAAATGTAAATTTTTTCCATTAATTTGTCTGTTGTTTATGAATATGTGTTGAGTAATATATAAATACATGAAAGGAAATTTCAATAGTATAGCCACTGTTTCATTCATATGTACTGGTAATCTATATTTGATAATAATAATAATACTAATAATAATTTTACTACTACTACTACTACTACTACTACTATTACTACTACTACTAATAATAATAATAATAATAATAAAATAATAATAATAATAACAATTAGCACTTTTCCAGATGGTTCCAGAAGTCACTTGATCCTAAATCTTTGAGGCTGTCACACTTTTTACTACAAACACTCCAGGTCCTTTGTACTAAGCTCTGACCAGCCTGTCAGTAAAGCTCTGTGCATTCCTGTTGTTAAACTGTATTGTTGCTCCATTAAAAAGCGATGTTATTCCTTTCCATTATAGAGCTCTTATGGACGTACATGGTGTGTTTGGGGCTGTGGGTATTAAATGCTTTTAGTCTGAAGGGTCTCAGGAGAGCGTTGCAGAGCTGACTCAGAGCCAGGTGCTGCCTTTCACAGCAGCTCTGAGGCGGAGAGTGGCAGAATGATCCTGTGAATGAAAAACACACAATAAACACATTCCTTAAGTAGTCTGAAAGATGTTTAAGGACGTACTCAGACAAGCATGTCTGAAGTCAAATATAAGATTTTCAGTCTTGTCACATCTCTGACTCTCATTTTGTGACAGGGGATGCTGGGCTGGGTGCATAGCTAAAATCCTCAAGAACAATCTGCCTTTCAATGTATGGCATTCAAGACCTTAAAGAGAGTCAAATACTCAATAGGACTAGTTAAGACCCAGTAGACATCCATGTGCCCTCCAGTGAACTGTACAAGGCACACTTTGTTAAGTGAGAATTCCTAAGGATAAATAGGAGACTTACAATTATCTTCTTGATCTACTAATTGTTCGGGCTACTCCAAGTTAGGTTGCTAGTTTGAACTCACTTGGACCACTGCATACTTTTGTATGTGTTTTTAGGCTTTAAGCTTCACCTACCTTGCTGTGTGAACACCGTGCATATGTGAGTGGTCAGTGGTGGTGGACAGAGGAGCTGATGGCACAGATTGGCAGCCGTGCTTTCACTGGTCAGCTGTGACTACAGTAGTAGTTTACCACCAGCGGGTCATATGGAATAAAAATAAGTACTGTGTAGCGCTTTGAAAGCCTTGTTTAGCCTTCTAAAAGTGAAAGACCTGCAATATTATTGTTATTTTCTGTTCAGTGTTTATTGCTGATGTTTAATCACAGTGTCTTCAATCAAATATTTAGAAATTGTACGCAGGAATTAACAATTAAAACCAATACATACTGACCACCAAATGAAATGGTATCAGCTTTGAGGTGAGGTAAAATGCAAAACATGATTCATTAATGGTTGCATATAACATGAGTACTATGTATAATGTGGTATAATGTTTTCTATAGTGTGCATTAGAGTATACCATGATTCAACAGCACAAAGAGCACAAAGAGAAGCATGTTTGTGTGTAAGCAGCTGTTTACATTAGTGTGTGTCCCACAGTGTACCCATAGTCACAGTACAATGCCCCTCTCAACATACATGATTTATCTGTGCTGGGAGGTGGGCGTGTCTTGTGTGCGTGGATGCCTCTACAGTCCAGCTATTGTCTCCCACTTGGTGTCAGCAGTGGGACAGCTGTGAGTGAGTGACTATGTATGTGTGTGTGTCTACTCCAGGAGTTTGAAAACACTGAGGGAGAGGACTACCAGGCAGATCTGTCCGGACTGACCCCGCCCTCATCACACAATGGTCCAGAGGTCTACATCCTGCCCCTCACTGAGGTGTCACTGCCAGTGTCCAAGCAGCCCGGACGATCCAGTAAGAAAGAAAAAAAATATGTTTGTGTGTGACAATGAACCAGAGTTGAACAATTTGAAGTTAATCAACACTTTTCTTTTGTGTTATAACAGTTCAAAGAGTTTTAGATTCACAACATTAGAATTAAAGCAAGTAAAGTGTCTTGCTCAGGGAGGTAGGTAGCAAAATTTGAACAAGTGAACTGCTCCAGCTAAGCTACTGCCCCTGTGAAGTGAAGAAGTGTATAATAATCATTGCCTTGTTTAACGTATATGTTATATTTGTCTAAGGGTTCATGGTGTTAAAACATTCCATTCTGGTTGTTATTCTACACTCTCACATAAGGGACAAGCAACATTGTGTAACATTTAGACCAACTGCTGTGCATTAACTGTGACAAGAATTGTAAAACAAAAGTTAGAAATGTAATTGTTACATTAAAAAAGAAGAAAATCAGCTGTCATATTTTCCCACCATAGTATAATTTTAGGCATTTATAAACTTTTACATAGAGCACAGCCTGTTCTTTGGTTCACTCTGCCTTTTACACTGTGTCCATTTGAGTAAGTGTGGGGATCCTACTGCCGCTCCCTGCATGACTCACTGCGCTGTGCTCAGGTGGGCGGGACTTAAAACTTGTAAGTTCTCGCTGCCATTGGAGGAGGCAACACTTGGCTTTCATCCTCTAAACCAATCAGGAGTCATTCCTCTGTCTTGCATAGTTACCGTGGTCTGATTGGTCCAGGTGTTGCAAGGGATAGAATGCATGCATTCTGGGGGCACACAGAGAATGTCACTTTTGTGAGACAAAAGATGTGCATACATTTCCTTGAAAACAGAATGTTACTCATGAGTATAAAAATGTAAAAATCTTTAATATATTTACATTACTATGGCCATGTTAAATGTCAAGGCATATCTTAGTGATGAATAGACGTAACTAGATCTATGGCCACAATAGAGTAATGGAAACAGCCCAAGCTCTTCTACCCAGCTTATATTATTGTTCAATACTGACAAATAAATTATAGTTAAATAAAAATAATAGATCATGCATGTAAAAATAAGTTAAATCTAAGTATAGTTTGTTGTCATATAAATCTGTTGCTATAATGTTATTCAAGAGCTTGTGTAAAGCTTTCAGACCCAAATGGCATGATGCATCAAAGCCTGTATTTGTAATGTTTGACTGTATGAGCCCACCATTTAACTATATTAATGTATTGAGTGGGTTTGGGAATGCTCACTCATACATTCCGCATTTGGAATAATTCTCCATTTGGGAGGGACGCTCAGAAAAGTGTGGGCCTGTAATCACCGTGACAACCTCTGACCAGCGTTCCAGTAGAAAATGGGCCTTGTGTCCCCTCTGCAGTGTGTGTATGTGCGTGTGTGTTTGGTACCAGCACAAACAGCGTGAGCGTGTGAGTGAGTGGGGCCCAACAATGGCTCTGATTTAGGCTGATGGCCCAGTGGGTGAACATAAGGCTGGCTTGAATTGTCCGTGGAACGCACCAGAGGAGGACTGGCATTATGGGCAGAAGACAGTGGCGGGTTTGTGAGAAAATGAGGAGACACAGAATGGGACGGGTGGTGGCATGCACCAGGACCTTGGAGGGGGGAGGGGGGCGCGAGATAGTGAGTATGACAGAGGTCTTTTCTGCATCTGACAGTGCAGGGTTTGTGTCCCGTTTGGCTGAGGAATGTGGCTGTCCTGGTGACAGGAGGGCATTATGTGGGCCTTATGTCACTGCTGGGTGTCTTGAGGCTGCACTCTGAGCGGAGCGTCAAATAGCACAGGACTAACATACGAGCCGGTCACTCGGGGTCTCAGAGCAGGGCAGCACATCTCTGCTCTCTCTGCTTTAGACCGAGGCTGATGGAGACTGTGGATATGTGCATTGGCTCCACAGCTGTGGCCCGCGTGTGTTTGTGTGCACACCGGCTGGAGGATGAGCCGTGTACAGAGCGCACAGGCGACATGGTGAGCTTGTTCAGCTGTGTGAGGGCTCCCAGGGTTCAATCCTGCCGACTCTCTCACACACACAATGAGGCTGAGGTGGCCGGGGCCAGGGTCCTGGCCACTTGGTTCTCACACTCTCAACCTGTGCTTCATCCCTGCATGGGACCGGCTCTCATGGGACAGTATCTGTCACGGTGCTCAGAGTGGCTGGCCGCTCTTCTGCTCCATCACCATCACCATCATTTCCATTCTGAAATATGAAGATCCATGGAGGTAAAAATTGTGTGCAAACCTGTGAGAAAATCTGTTAATTTATTTGCCTTTTAAACAACATTTCTTTTTGTCTGTCACTTCTGTCTGTATTTAGTCCAGCTACTGAAATCTTCAGATCTGGGTCGCCACAGCCTTCTTTATCTGAAAGAGCTTGGTCATGGCTGGTTTGGAAAGGTAAATCACTAAAATATCTATGTGTGGTTCTTATGTGTTTTGGTGTGAAAACATTTTTACAGTGACCTTATTTATTAATAGTGAGGTATATTTTGTTTTATTTTATTTTACTAACATTCCTTACTTTTCACATTTGAATATCACGGTTCAGTGGACTAATGAAATCTCACAAGAGGTTTATTGTTGAAAACTGATGATCTTTTCGTTAGGTCTTGTTGGGTGAAGTCAATGCGGGCCTCAGCACCACCCAGGTGGTGGTTAAGGAGCTCAAGGCCAGTGCCAGTGTCCAGGAACAGACACAGTTCTTAGAGGAGGTTCAACCATATCGGTACGTTTAACATTAGGCTTACAGCTATTCTTTCTGTGCATGTATAATCTAATATGAGACAATCATTCACAGTTATTGACATCATGATCAAACAACAGTGAAATTATTGATTTCTTTCCCCTTTTTCCCAGGTTCTAATACGTTACCATTTTTTAATATACGCTTTTAGGCTTTACATGTAGTTTTACTTTTTGAGTCTAGATTGAATTGAAATAACATACTTTTGCTTCATGATTGTAATTACTTAGATCTTACAGTTATATTGTGACCTGAATAATCATGATTACCAATTAACCAAATGCTCGATATCCCCGTATGTCACCTTCTTCTGTTTGAAGTCTTCAGCATCCGGCACTGCTCATGTGCCTGGCACAATGCACAGAGGTCACTCCTTATCTGCTGGTCATGGAGTTTTGTCCTCTGGTATGAGTCTTGAAAGTCAGTGACTATTTGCTTATTGTAGATAGAATAATCTATTAATTCCATGAGATGTACACTTAGGGCGATCTGAAGAACTACCTCCGCAGCTGTCAGGGAGCAGAGTCCGAGACCCCTGACCCCTTGATCCTTCAGAGGATGGTGTGTGACATTTCCTCGGGACTCCTCCATCTTCACAAACACAACTTCATTCACAGGTAAACCCCTCACTATATGTACTACTCTTTCCCTTTTGCTGACTTCAGTTCTTTTATCTGGCAATTACACCACCTGCTGGCCACTTTCTACAACAACATCCTGGTGCTGCCTGAGTAATTAAAGAAAACTCCAGCATCAGTGATTTTGTTGCTGTGGGTGAGCCCTTGTCTCTTGAGCTCAACCATCTGATGCAGAAAAATGGATTACCCGGTGTGAGGGTGAGAAGTTGTTTGCTGTTACCAAGTTAAATAACGCTATTTGATTTTTACTGATAAAAAGTTCATGTTAACCCTGGGACTGTACAGTATTTGATTTTAATGTTAGTGCAGACTTGTTTACATATTGGTGGAAAATGTTTTACTCCCAACAGTGACCTAGCTCTCAGAAACTGCCTGCTAACCTCAGAAATGTCAGTAAAGATTGGGGACTATGGCCTTTCTCACAGCCGATACAAGGTAAGCCTCTGGCACTGTTTTGAAGCTGCAACAACCAGAACATGTAAATGTAAATTTTTATCCGGCTTTCATTTCACAGGAGGATTATTACATAACTCAAGATCAGATCTGGGTGCCTCTTCGTTGGATTGCTCCAGAACTCATAGATGAAGTTCATGGAAATCTGCTGGTTGTAGACCAAACCAAAAGCAGTAACATATGGTCAGTAAAAAGATATGATCATGTAATATTGTATTTTAACAACAACAACAATTCAGCCTCTCCTTTTATGTATAAGTTATTTATGTATGTATTAAATCTCATATTCCAGGTCATTGGGCGTGACCATGTGGGAGCTTTTTGAGTTAGGAAATCAGCCCTACAGACAGTTCTCAGACCGACAGGTGCTGACCTATGCTGTGAAGGAGGAACAGCTTAAACTACCCAAGCCACACCTCCAGTTTCCCCTGTTAGACCGCTGGTCAGTTTACTTATGATATATTTTTTTAACAAATTCAGTATAGTTTGTCTGCTATAATGATTTTTTGATAAACAGTTACCATTTTCAAACTGAATGAATAGAAACCGGAAGTAAATGCATAAAAGCATTTATACTGCTTCGAGGGTATGGGTATAAGTGCTGACTTAAAACAATCTGCTGCTTTCATTTATCATGCCAAAAATCAATTGTTCCTCTCTGGGAAATTGCTGTGTGCAAAGTTTGAGCATAAAAACAAAGTTTTTGCTTGTTACTGTTTAGGTATGAGGTGATGCAGTTCTGCTGGCTGCAGCCTGAGCTCAGACCCAGCAGCGAAGAGGTGCACCTTCTCGTCACTTACCTGTGTGCTAAAGGCTCCAGTGAAGCAGAGGAGGATTTTGAACAACGCTGGAATGCACTGAGACCCAATTTACTGGGGAGCAGTACCCACACCTCCTCATCTGCTCTGGTTCTCACCCCCACCCCCTTAGAGCAAACCCAGGTGGAGCTGGCCTCCTCCGCTTCCTCCTTCCCCCTTCTCGAACACTTCACAGACAGCTTCCACTCAGACTCCGGAGATGACCTGCTGACTGTTACTGAGACCAGTCAGGGGCTCAACTTTGAGTACAAATGGGAACAGGCCCGAGCAGAGCAGCCATACTGCTCATCATCTACCAGTGGGCCACTTGGGCAGGGAAACCCACATTATCAGGACATTTACTATTCATGCCGAGAAAGCACGTGCAGGGGTGATAGTCCCACCTACTATGAACCAGAACACCCAGGGGTGGTCCCAGTCCTGAGCGCTCACAGCCCCTCTGTAAGCAGTGAGTACTACATTCGCATTGAGGAGCCAGTAGAATGTAATATCACTCTTGATGACAGCATAGTAGACTATAGCCCTGGTCTGGAAGCCTGCAGCGTGTCTCCTGAGACCACATCATCCAAGGCTCAGTCCAGTTCATACTGGTCCACAGCGAATAACCTCAAATCCACCTGCTATGATTCAGATTCAAGTCCCACTGTTCAGCTAGCAATGGAACCACTGGGGAGGGAAAACTCCAGCCCAAATGATCAATGCAGCTCACAGCACATCTCATCTAGTGTCGTCTACAGTGAACGGCAGCCTTGTCACTCTGATGAAGACATGTCACCAGAGTCAAGAACACAATGTGTACGTCCCATTGAGCGATTAGATGCTCCCATGAATATTTCAGTAGGCGTTAGCAGCCCTAGTTTAGGCTTCTGTGACCCCTATTTAGAAGCGAGTAACAGTTATTCTATGGACCCCCTTCAAAAAACAATCCCTGTTGTTAACCACATTAGCATTGATGTGGAGTCAGATGATGGCATTTTAATGGGTAGACGGAGCAGCAGGGAAGTAAACAATGATGACCTTTTCTCTGAAGGAGAGGCCACAAATTGGACATCAAACCACTCGGCAAACAACAACAGCCTTAGTATTGATGTCCACCACACAGGCACTGGTCGGGACAACTATCTCGACCTCCAGTATCATGTCAACACAACAGACATTTGGTCTTTAACTAAAGCCACAACTAGAACATTTGTGAGCTCCAAGTCTAGTGGCCCATTAGATGAAAGACAGACCCCAGGTGGAGTGGATTCATATATTCACATTCATCATGAAGGAATGAAGCAACCTGTTCCCCAAATGGGCACAAGTGCGTTTAATCTTAAGAGTGGCAAGGAAACAAATTCAAAATCATCCTGCACTGGTGACAGACTGTACTCTGAACCCCAAATTATACCAGAAACATCCTTCATAAAATCTTCATCTTCTGGATTAGTTGATAAACAGAAAACCTGGGATGGTGCAGGGATCCACTTAAGTCTGCAGGACAGCAAGAGAGAATTGGATAGTGGGGTTAGGGTTCCTACAACTAGTTTGGTTGGACTTGGTGACTACAGCGAGGATGAAGATGATGACTTAACATACATCACATCAGGCATTTTTTCAGACTATAACCTTGATTATGCCAATCTTGAAGAAGAAGAACTTAGTCCAATAAAAAACACGAATGGCACACCTGGTTCAGTAGACACTCTCAACCTGTCCTCCTCCATGGAACAAGCCTTTAGTCCGGACAACTTCAACATGCCCATCCTGCCCAAATCACTGGACAGTGGCTATGACACAGAAAATAATGAATCCCCAGAGTTCTTGTTCAAAGATGACCAGAGTCCTAGAATTTGTGAGGATTTTGTTTTGCAAATGGGACTAGATCAAGAGTTATCCACAAGTGTTTCAGAGATACAGTTGAAACCACTGACAGACAAAAACCCATATCGAGATTCAGCATATTTTTCAGACTATGAAAATGAAAGAAGTCCGCATGAAGATGGAAACAGGTTCTTTTCAAACCCTGAGAAGACACAGCCTGTCAAAGATGCTGTAAAATTCAATGATGACTTACAACACATTAAAACTAATTTTGAAGTAGAAGTTAGTAATAGACAACTTACAACTCCAGGGCTATCCATGTTGTCGCCTTTTCCTCCTGAGATGGGTGGGTGTCTAACAAAAGAGTCCGCCCCTGCAGATGAGGAACTTGGATTGGAAACAGAACAAATTGTGGAGGAACTACCCTCGGAGCTTAGTTCTTCTGTATCCGAGCCATCTTCATCAGTTCAAGAAGGTTCATCCAATCAGGAAGATGGGAGGAAAACTGGGAATGCACTACCTGATCACTCACTGCAATCAAACTGTACCCTGAATGAAGATACCCCTACTGAAAATACAGATGGCTCTACCGAGGATGAGGAGATTCCAGAAATCAATAGCATCAGTAAAGAAGAGGAGAGGGCTGACGTGACCATAAATGAAGAAGATTTTGAAGACATAGATGCTGATTCACAGGACAGTCTTTGTGAAGAGTCCTCCAACGGTCCTGCCAACATGTCTTCTTCCTCCTCTCTGTTAGAACTGTGTGGTGAGGACGTGAGGGCGCCCCTAGAGGAGGCGGAGGAGGAGTACGACTCAGATGACAGTGAATCTGATGAAGAGCTGAGAACATATAACATCCAGGAGGAGGAAAGCGAGGAGAGTGAGGAGGATTTTAGCATGGTGCCTGTGGTGGTGAGTGACTGCAGCAGAGCAAGACACCTGCGCAGCCTCCTGAAGATGCCCACGCTGCTCACACAGTCCTTCTGTGAGGAGCTGGAGAAGAAGAAGAAAGCAGTGTCCTTCTTTGATGATGTCACCGTGTTCCTCTTTGATCAGGTATGGTGAGAACAATATTTTTAGGTGCACGATGTAGCTTTTCAGGAACTTCCACTCACTCGTCTCCATAGGAATACTATCGCTTGGCCAAGATTTTTCTACAGCATAGCATTTACTTTATCTTTATCTCTATGGGGACAAGCACATGAAGCCAAATAGCCAAGTTGCAGGTTATATTTGTGGAGACTAACCCTCACTCACAGTAATAATGATTTTCAAGGTATTTGGGGAAATAACTGCAAGCAAGAAAGTAATAAGAGACAGGTCAAGCAGGTGATGGACCACCACCAGAAAAGTTACATTGTGCACCTTTAAACTTTGTACTTTAAAGATGTCTTTACAGTTTGATTTTTTTTTTTTTTTAAAGAGTGTATAAATACTTATTTTGCTTAATCACACAGTCATTTTCATTGTCATTAAACATGATGTTTTGGAATAATGCCCTTCCCACTACACCTTTTAGGAAAGCCCAACTGGAGAACTTTCTGATTACACATTTGCCACTGAAGCAGAGTCTCCAGAAGAAGAACAACTTCCCGTCTACCAGCCTCTACAAGACCCCGAGACCACTGCTCCAACTGACACTGCTCTTGAACAAACAGAAGAGATTAGCAATGACAAGAGTAGGTTGTAACATGTCAAATATTGTATTGTGTACTTTTTTTATGTTTGTAATTTCAATTGCTTAGGTGAGCCAAATGAATTGGAAGATGATGTCCCATGTGAGCCAAACTTGCCTTCCCCTAATGGGCACCCCGAGACCCTTTCCTCCCCAGTGTCCAGTCCCAACAGTCCAGACTCTCCCAAACCTTCTTCTGTGGCCCTTAATCGTTTTATAGTGTCACGATTCTCAATCACACATGTCACTGACTCCAACACAAGCTCAGTAGCAGGTAAAAATATTTTCTATAACAATTTTCATTTACAGTATGACTTACCAAATGTCTTTACTTTTGATCATTTAGCCAAATCCATTTAATAATTAATTTTTAAATTTCCAGAATCTATTGAAGACAGCCTGAATGACTGAGCCATTTTGGATAGCAGAAAACCCCAGAACTCAACACAGACAACAGCATAATTCTGTCTAAATGTTTTAAAGAGTTTTATTTTTATCAGCCTTTAGACCCTGGTGACCCTTTATGAGAGTGCCTCATACTGTAGTGACCACTGTTAAGATGATTTGCACACTTCCTTGTTGTTTTCAGGTTATAAAAAAACATTGTTGCAATGCTCTATAGTTTGCAGAAAACAACAAAGTGCATTGTAGTTTTAGCAGTGAAAATAATGATTAGTATTTCTAGATGCTCCCCTCATTGGCTGCCTTTGTTTACATGCTTCACCCATCCACATTACACATTGTGTGTTAGAGCATAGCTTCATAATAGTGCAAATCCATGTAATGGTTGTCATGGGTCACAGTGTGAGATAGTGGTCTTGGTTACTTTGAACAACTCAACATGTTTATATCGAACAGGACAGAACTGAAACAAATGGTTTAAAATTCATATAGACTTTTTTCATAAGCTATGGGCACCGTACAACCTGATAAAACAGACAACCCTTGAGTGAGAATTATCCATACTGACATTTCATCTCAGAATGGCAAAGAAACATACTATTCATCCAGTAGTTAAGGATATGTTTTTAGCAGGATCCCAATTTGATAACAAATGCTCATATTGAATTATATTAAAAAACAATCAATCTATATCATTACTATTAAATAATGAAACATTTAAGATATTTTTTTGAGATATTTGAGATTTGCTTTGCCATCTCTTTTCACCCCGTAGAAGGATGACAGTGCAACTAATCCATTAAACAGGCCAGTATTAAACCGAACTATGAACAGTTTTATGTTCCTCATACAGAAGTATTCTATATTCCATATGCTGAATGGTAGGTCTGAGGTGCATACAAGACAAAAGGTCATCTCACTGTAATGTTTGAATGTTACATTGACATTGATATGTAGCGAGTAGCTTGACTTGAAGTACGACAGCTGTAATAACAACTCCCTCATGCTCTCCAGTCAATAATGGGATCAACTTTTGTATATCTATGTAAAACAATTTTGGGTCATTATTCTCCAATCTGATTTGCCAAAGAGATCCTAAAAAAGCCCATTGGCTTGAATGGCTGACCACTGGAGAAGAGCTGAGGAGAGTTGTTCTATGTGCTGTGAGTAAAATGATGCTGTCTCCATTTCTCCTCATTCATGGCTGTTGTTCTGTCACAATAAATGCAAATACTTTTCACTACCTGCTTATGTGAAATATTTTGTATTTTCCCTGTACATTAATTGGGTATTTTTACTTTTTGACTGGATGATATATTGAGTTGACACTTAACACAACATAGACAAAGACATAAATAACATTTGTGGCCATAGACATTTATTGTGGACAGATACATTTAGACTGTACAGTACAGATATGAAACAAACAATTAAAAACAAATATGAAAGCTATAGAAAAAGCAAAACATTTTAGAAAAAGCGGTTTTAACTTTGTACTTGTGCTACTGTCCATAGCAGGATCATATTGCTCAGCATGTGCAGAAGATATATGTGGTGACTCTCCCAAATATTTAATACTGAGCAAAAGACCAAATCACATGATAATACTGAATCTTATCAGTAAGCTACCACTCCCACAAAACTAAAATATATAAAAACCCAGTTCATAGATTTAATACTTACTGCAAGCACTGATAATTTTAAATGAGGAAATTCTGCTCTATAATTTGTTTTGTGCTGTAATTGTCTTATGCAAAAGATAAAAACAAAATATAATTTACAGAAGGTCTAATACTTAAATAATAAAAATAAAAAAAGATGACTTTAAACCAGGTCAGAAAATAAGTGGTTTGAAGCTGCATAAGTCAAAGGCACAGTTCCCACACTGGGTATACTGTATCACAATATAGTAAATGCTTTGAGTGCTATCACTTAACACAATTGTACACTTTGATTGCTTAGTAACAGAAAGACTTCCCAAACGCCATTTATACAGTGTCTAGTAATTGTAAAGTATTTCCAGTAGAAGTGCAGTTTATTGTAACGCTCTAGCATCACTACTATAAAATCTAGTAGCCTCTTGAATCCATAATAAAAGGTTTTTAAAAAAGTACACTGACATAACATTATGACCACCTGCCCCAATAAACAACATTGCACTGAATTTTGATACAATTTATTATTATAATTATTTTTTTTATTTTTATTTTTACAATTTAAGTAACATTAACTTGACTATCCAATCCCACACACACTGGCTTCAGCACTGTTCTTTTAGAGACCACAAGGCTTGCTCCATCCACTGTATAGTTCCATCACATTTTGACACTTAGTGACACTTGGCGAAACCAAGTGGCGAAATCTTGGTGAACGTTAAATCCACATGCCTACTTATTACTGGCAAAAATAACCTAAAATAAATCCACTACTGGGATTCTCTTAATATGTGGTCATAATGTTCTGCCTGCTCAATGTATACTTGTATTAACTGTAGGATTGGTTTTGAGTGGCAGTCCACTGTAAAGAAAGTATTCTTTGAAACACACCTCACTTTCTCCTGCTCTTTTCTAGAGAAATGCCCACCAGTGAACATTACAGAATAGCGGGCAGATTAGTAGAAGATGGGTGCAGATCGGTCGTCATTGAAGGTAGACCGGAGGTACACCTCCAGAGCACGGTCACTGTGGGGAGAGTAGGGGTGGGGTAAGGGACAGCAAGAGTTAGGATGACCTTATAACATAGTATAGACTAATAATTGTGTAGCCACGCCCCCAAAAGCTCAACTGGAAAATTCACTGTGCAATTGTGAATGTGAGCAAGCTTTTCGTGAAAATATTTGAAGCTATAGGCACACATGCAAGGTTAGTGTTGCCGTATTTACTAGCAGGGTTAATACATTTTAGAGAAGAGAACTGAATCATAATAGTGGACAGGAAAAACCAACAGTTCCCTTGTCTTACTGAAGCCAGACAGCCAATGAGTGCAAAGATTAGCAGTGAAATCAAAAGGGGAACCGTGATTGGTTGGCTGGTGACTGGTGACTTACGCAGGTCCTCAGAGGTTCCTTTAGAACCGGGACAATTCGGGACCCAAACTGGAAGGTAAAGAGAGTTTGAATCTCTCCAATCATGCATGGCTCACAGTTACAAAACACTGCAGGTTAGTGTTCCACAACACAAACAATAAATAAATAAATAAATGGAGAATGGAGATCACTAGTAGTAAAAACATGCTCAACATGCTGTATTGTTATAAAGGATTTGTTCACAAAATAAAAACACAGCTAATATGTCTCATTGTAATCCAGATAAAAACAATAACTTAAAAGGAACAATTTCAACATGCCAACCACACGCACACACACAATTATTCACTGAAAACTAAAGGTACTATGGGTGCAGAATATAGTATGCAAAGCTGCCGATAAAAAACATGCTGATGATATACAGCACAAACTGCAAATAAATAAATGAATAAAATGCTTTTGAGAACACCAAAGTCAGTCATGTCAAGTCAGAACAGATTTCTCACCAGACCAGACTGTTTATTAATATATAGAGATATGTTTTATTTAGAATATCTTTGTAAAAAGTCACCATACATTCAAGGTCAAATTTAAGAATCACATTTTTTGTTTGTCCCTCCACAGCATGCATAAGATTAACACAGGTTTTCTCAGTTAATTCTGCAAATAATTTGTATTTTTTACAAGGACAATAATTATACTATCGTAAATTGAAAATAAAAGACCAAAAACTACATCGCCACTCAGGGAATACAATCATAAATAACACACTGAGAGCTGCAAACGCTGTGGAAATCTAAAACTAAATCACAGTTGTTAAAAAAAATTCAATCAATTCAATGAGGCATTTACCCTGCTGGCAGTTATTTTAGCAAAAAGTTGGGCCAAAACTTTTGAATCAAAACATTTTCTTGCAATGATACAGTGCAACATATTGGACTGACAGAACAATTCATAATATAGATAGATATATACTGTAGTGCCGAAGCTTGAAATGACAGCTTCACAAGCACGTATATAACTTAATAAAAGCAAAGTAAGGCAGATATGACACACAACCGGGACAGAAAAGTCACAAGGAAGCGGAGCGACTGACAACCTCTCAGAACGGAAAAATCTGCACAGCCTTACTCAGAATCAACTTAAGAGCAGTGGTTCTCAAACTGTGGGTAGGTTCTGCTTGTAGTATGTTATAATTTTGGGGTTCTCAAGAATTGTTATTTAAATTTGTTGTTATTTAAAATGAGCTGATTAGACACATATTTTTAAAATCTTGTTTCAATTTAGACATTGATTCGTTCTGCAAGCTGTTCCTGAAAAGTCAAACAAAACAGGTATATTGCTTAAAATCCATCTTACAGTAAAAGTATAAATTCATTCAAACAAACCAGGCTTAGAAAGATCAACTATTCTGGAACAACCCACTAAAAAGTAAAAAAAAAAAAAAGGGTTTGTGAATCACTGACTATTAGCATCTTGTGAGGATATTTATTTGTGCTATTTTACATAAGAAGGCCATTGAGTCAGTGGTCCCCAAACTATGGCATAGGTACACCACGTGATGATGCACAGGCTTGTTCTGGAGTTAAGGTGTCTGAGTATAGTCCTACTTTGTATATGCAGAGCCTAAACATGGCTTCCTTAGTCCTACCCACGGGAACAGTACTACTAGAGTATAAAACTAGATTGTTAAACAACAGATTTAAAATATTCAGCATAAAGTTTGAGAATCACTGGCATCTTGGGAGTAAACTTAAAGATTCATATGTGCTTTTTTCATAAGAAGGCCATTGAGTTGGTGGCTTCGAGTACAATGGACATTGAAGTCTTTTGGCACTTGTACAGTACATGAACATGTCTTTTCATCTCGACAAAATGACACAACCATGTACATGCAGTTATAAAGACAAGCATTTATAGCAAAAAAGGCAGAGAGAGAAAGAGAGATCATCGGCCAGTGTGCACGATTCAGAGTCCGTAACGCTGCATGCCGAGCAGATAGGGGGCGCTCGGGCTGGCAATGCAATCCTCCACCCACCAACCGCTACTGTCCACAACACCACCGGAGGCAGCAGCAACACCCAGGACAAGGGGGGAAAGAGGAGACGAACCCGGGGAGGAAGAGACAGAAAGGAGGGGTGAAACGTGGCCTCCAACTTCCAACTTGTGTGTGGAGGTAGGGCAAGAAGGTAGGAGGGGTTAGGAGGGAGAGAGAGAGGGAAGGGGTGGGATATAGGAGCTATCCGGAGCTGTCTGTGTCTGTCTGTTAGTCTGTTTTCTCACACAGTCGAAATCAATTTGCCATCAGGACTGTCACTGTGGAAGAGAGAAGGAAGCTTGCCAGGTTCGGACACACTTAGAAAGAGAGAGAGAGATGGAGAGACACAAGACACAAGGCAACAAGGAGGTGGAGGTAGAGATGTGGGCGGGGCTTGGTGTGTCATTAACCCCGGCCACAACTCCACATGCCCACCATGATCAGAAGATAAGACTTCCAGTTTCCTCATCACCACTTTCTTGGTTGTACTTTTGTCAGATTTGGAAATAAAGGTTTGTTGATAAGAAAACTGTCAAGTCATCTCTGATAGCTAAAGCACTACATTGATCTATTAGCAAACTACTATCAAACTACTAGGGAGAAACACAATATAGCAGCAGACAGTGTGAATAACTATCTAGCCTCAGTTTTAAGCACTGGTGATTGAAATGGTATTAGTAGGATGTTGATTGTCACAACAACATATAAAGACTAATATGATTTTACAACACAAATCACAGACCTCCTCTCACACATTCACACACACATACAAGAGCATGTTGTTCCTTATTGGATAGAAACAAGGACAGCATAATTCCTAAGCTATACTGGCCAATGGGACCTGATTGGATTACAATTAAAACATATTGGACTGTCTTAAAATAAACAGAGACACTGACCCCGCTAAACTGCTTTAAACAGACCTTATTACAAATACAGAGGATACAAATATACACTATCAATGAATTGCTGCCTTCAAAAAACATTTTTTTTTTGTATGATATTGATCACTATGACTAAAAACCCACATAATAACTGCTGTATCAGTTGATTAAAAATAAGAGAGCTGACACTTACCTTGTGGCAAAGCGGCCGTCATAATCCTCAATAGCAGGCTAGAAAAGATAAATAGATAATAATGAATGAATTAATCTTTTACATACAAGTGGTTGTTTCTCAGTTACACCACTGGGTGGCAGCAAATACTGAACTACAACTACAAGTTCAGCAGTAACTTTCTGTCACCTGATGGTTCCATTTTCTAACTTTATACGCAAGGGACAGACTTGTGTTATAGTGTTTTGAGTTTTCACACAAAATGCTTTAGTGAGAAGTGTACAAACCTGTTAAACAAATACAAGGGAAAATGGACAGAAGTTACCAAAAATCTGGTAAGTGCCAAAGAGGCAAAAAACTTAATACATAAATTGAAAATAGTGTCAGCATCAGAGTTGGCAATAAAAAAAAAAAAAAACTGCAACCTCTAGCAGTGTCTAGAGCAGAAAACAGCCTTTAATATAAAGTTAACTGGATTATATCATCACTTGCTCCACTATATGGGTGTGTCTACTGTATCACCTTACCAACAATAGCCTATTCCTTTTAGTGAGAATCATTAATGCATAAAACCAGCTGGTACCTGTGTGCCGAATGCTGCCATGCTGTAGGGTCGAGGGCGGGTTTGTGCCAAACTTTGTGCCAACAGCCGTGCGGTCAGGCCATAGTCGGGCGTCGGAAGTGACCCATCATTCTCCAGCAAGTTCCCCGTGCTGCTGCTTTTCCCATGGTTCAGACTGTAACCATAATAGCTCCTCAGTTCAAATCACCTGGTCCCAATAAGGTAAAAATGATACAAAGCAAAAGCCACTTACTTCACTCTGAGCTTATCGCCTTCACTGTCGGGCAGCACTCGAGTGTAGGAGAATGGGAACCAACCTCGCCTGTTAAAAAAAAAAAAAAGTGAAATTGCCACGTTGTCAAATCCAGGATAAATGTTTATTCAGTTTACACTGGGGTAAACAGGAATACATGAATACATTACTTACATCTTGTTCTTCTCATTTTCGCCATAGTGCCAGCCATCACGTGCTTCGGGCACAAGCAGGGTGATGATGTCACCCTCTGCAAAGCTGAGCAGGGTGCTGTTGTCTCCTGCGGCATGGGAGAAGATGGCCTGGACACGGGAACGCCCATTTTTCTCCAGACCAGCGGCCATGGAACTGGATCTGGGCAGGGTTCTTGTCTCACCTGGGAAAGAAACACATTCATAGCTAAACATGGGTAGATTTATGCACGAGAGTGGGCACTGTGGGTGAAGTGTCTTGCTTAAGAACATAACAGCAGTTCGCATGGAAAGATTTGAACCCACTACCCTCTAATCTATGTGAATGTCTGCTAGTTGAGTAAAAAGCATATTTTTATGAGCTGAAATGTATTAACCAGAAGAATGAGTTATCAATAATTTAATGAAAAAGTAATTACACTACTTAACATTATAACAGATCAGAAAAGTGTAATTCTCTACATGCATTGCAATGCTGATGTGGTTTAATGTTGTTTCCTCATCAAAAACATACCTGGAGTTGAGTTTTTTGTTTTTTATTTCTCATTCACACCCATTTAACACACACAACCTAGATAGTTAAGTTAAGTTCTTCTCTCAAACAGAAAATACTCTGTTCCACCTTGTGAAGTGGTAATACAGGAATTGCTCTCCAGTGTTTTTAAGCTATATACACTTTCACCAGAATCAGTTGGAGGTGAAAGGTGGCTGTTAACTTAAAAACTACTACTACATAATATCACAAGATGCAACAGAGCATTTTGAGCTTCGAAGATGTAGACAAACTAATAATAAAGGATTACTCAAACATGTGGAAGAAACAAAACACATCTCCTTTTGAGGAGGTAAAATCATTATAACATGGCTTAAGGCTCACAAGAATCAATTTTATGTAATATAGGACTGTTAATAGCTGTATTAGGAGAAATGCCTCCTCTCGGGACATAGACAACAGTGAAAGTGAGAGGAGGAGGACTGGTTGGGTTTGGTTGCTGTGATGGAGAAGAGATGAAAGAGGGTTGAGATGAGATGTGCTATGTAGCTGAAACATGAGGGAGAGAGCACGTGAACAGTAGGCTATATCTGAACATATTTAGAGGTGATGAGTGGCAAAGGTGGCAGGCAGTGACTAACCGTCAGCAATAAACAGGGGACAGACAGGAAATCCTAGTCATCCTGGTAAATTTAATACATGTAGCAGATTCTTCAGATTTACTCATGATAAAAAAGGAACTTGTTAGCCATTTCAAATAGCTTTGAATATCTTATATGTAATGTGGTGCTCCAAAGATGGCTGACATGTATGCTATATACTGTGGTTTCCAATGTAACCAACTGTATGCACAAAAATGCATAATTGTCAAGGTGTATACTGTTCTAACTGTTCATACTTCATACAAAATGGTATTTATCAGCAGATACCCAAAGAAATGCTAGAGAAATGTTAAAGTAAACTAGATAAAAATGACTGGAAACAGTAAATAATGGAGTTGACATGAACTTGGCAGAAGGATTATAATCACATGACAAAGAAAGCGGCAAAGCATTTTCAGATTTTGCCTATTCAAGAATATTCCAAAAACACTGTGATTACCCCATAATTTAACATAATAGCGAGTCTTCTAGTGTCATTATTAGCCAGATGAAGTAAATGATATAATCTAACCCACATTATGATTATTATTACATCCAATCACTTGTCCATTATTAGCATTCGCAGGCACTGTTCATGCACGCCGTTATTCAGCTCTTCAGACTCTTACCCACTGGGTTCTTGTTCTTGGCAGGCTGAGGTCGGCGCACGGGCAGTGTGTTGGAGTAGACATCGCTGACCTGTCTCTGCGGTTGGGCCTGGGATGGTCCTGGGGCCTGGGTCTGGGGGGATGCGGGTCGCACCTGAGACACGCTCATACTGCCCCCTTCTGGCCAGAACTCCTCTCCATGGACACCTGTCGTCCCATTCACCATAGACATGCCATCAGGACCCATCAGCCTCTGAATATGATGCAAATAGATGATGGACAGCAAGTTAGTGCCTAAATCAAATATAATCGTGGCCATTAAAATGGACTGTACTAGAGTAAGTGTCATGGGAGAGTTTATTTTAATTTGGTCCGTCAGCTGCGACTCAGCATGAAATGAAAATTCTAAACAGCTCATTAACACAAGTAGCATCTTAAAGTGAGGCCGGAGAGATATGCCATTTTATTTTTATGAAGGGTAAAAGGCTGATGGGCTGTCATTAGTACACTGCTGCTTGAGGCCTCCCAGAGATACTCAAACCCTATAAAGGTATTATTTTTTTTTACATTTAACTTTAATTTATTGAATCCAGTGCATAATGTAGTAAACACAAAATGTGTGATTTTCCTTTTCTAAACTCACTGCAGGATGTCCCAAGCCACTGCCCATGAAGACAGCGAGTTCTGGAGGCACAGGGAGAGGCTGGGCTCCTGGGATGGGGTCTGAGATGACCAGGTTGGATTTGGAGGTATGCAATGGGCTGGTTCCCCCCAGGGCAGAGGAGCTCATCTGCTGGGCCAGCAGCATGGCTCGATCTGGCAGCTTGTTTGGATCTGAACAAGCCTGTTGCCACACAGGGATCTTCTGCGTCAGTAGGTCTTTACCCTGGAACAGATGAAGAGGGGAATGTGAACATTGACAACACACTCGAAGTGTTCCTCACAGCGTAGCCTTGACCACTGGTCTCTTACAGCTATGGTAATGCAGTGCGTGGGAGAGGCAGAGGGACACTAGCACATGGCCGACTGCCCACCTGCACATCTCTGCCTGTGGAAATGTGTGTTCTTCAGCTAACCGATTTTAATGGACTCACTACAACATGCACTGTATAGATCCTGGGTTTATTTCACCACAAAGAGACAGAGAGAGACCCTCAAGGAAAGGTTTCTTCATCTAGCTCAGGGTGAAGTCTGCCTACGCACAGCACATCTTGATTAATGACTAGACTATGTTGAAAAGAGAAACAGCAGTACAGTCCTTCTCTAGCCACATCTTCAGGCTGGCAGTTCACTCCCACTAATAATCCCTAGAGACGGACGATTACCCAAGAATACCAAAGTGTTGGCTGGTTTTAGGCATGCACAGACGGAGACACGTTTTCAGTGCCAATGACAACACAAAGGAGAAGATTTGATAGGTATAATATAGTATGCTTTTGAAGACAATGTGCATCTTGGGAAATACAGAGAAACAAAGTGCTTTTATCTGAACAGTGGGCTTTAAACAACATCAAAGTGCCCAGACGCTGAATGAGCAAAGATGGATAGAGTGTCAGCAGATAGATGTAAAATAAAAAAGTATTTGTCATCTATGAGCAGACAAATCTAATGCCACACTGAATGCTATATATTCATTTTGTATTCAGTGACACTCAAATATAAGCCATTATGTTTTAGAGACATCAGAGGGTACTGAGTTTCTCATATAAGGAGACAGTATAAACAAATGTATTAAAAGCTTGCTTCAACAAGCTCTAGATGCATCCCTGTGAGGGATTTCCAAGCACTCAAGTTTTCCAAGTAACTTTTTAGATGCCATTAAAGACCACGTGACAGTGACTGTTTACAGGACATAGTCAAACATGCTCAGTCCATATTAGGAAGGATTGATCAGAAAAGTAACTTAGCTGATCATACTAGGACTAGATTATGCATGCAGTTTGGCTTTCAAATGTTATAGTTGTTTAATTTTTAAGTCTTAAAAATAAGACTGTGCTGTTTGAAATTTTGTGTAAAATTATGTGACACAGATATAATTTATTATTATAATTTTTTTAAATTTCTTTTACCAAAATCTCTAATTTTTTTCAAAATGTATGAATGTATGAATGCATTTTCTACTGTCATTTATTGTGATACATATGATTTGTTACCAATATCATTAACTAAGTGAGAGATTTGTAGCCCTCCTTCGACTGTAGTGGTCTATACTATGGTTATACAGTCATTTATGAATTTTCAGTGTAATGGTCAAACAATAACACATACCTTGCCATGGTAAGCACTGCTATTCTTGGCCACAGCACACTGACGATCCACTAAGAAGCAGTACCGGCGACGCTCCTCAGACAAAGCTGTCTTGTAACCCTCGGCGATAAAGGTGTCCAACTCAGTTTGCTTACTGCTGATGGTCTCCACAAACTAGATAGAAAATAAAGAAAAGAAATATATATCTTTTTTTGTAATGCATTCACTGAAATATTAATACATGCTGCCTAATAAACAGCAAACTTATGAAACCAGTAATAACATTCACAAACTTAATAGCCTCTTGTTGATACTCTGTAGCCATTTCACCAGTGCATCTTTCTTGGAACACTTTATATAAATATTGATAACAGCAAACTAGAACCCCTAAGAGCTGACATTTTTGAGATGTGAGCCAATCCTTTAGCCGTCATTATTTCGACCTGTTGAACTTGCTAAAAGCTTTACCCTTGTTAATTTTCCAACTTCAAATACACTGATTTGGACAAAACTCAGCGGCTGCCCAATCCCACAAAATAAAAGAGGACATAATATTACAGAGACAATGTAATTCACTTCAGCCGAGGGGTTATTATGTTATGCCACTGTTGCATCTGTACCAAAGCAATCGCGGGTCAAGTGCCGGTCTATTGCGCACACACCTTTTCAGTAAGTTTCTCTGGCCAGATTCACCGAGTGCTACTCAGGCAATTATGTGTGAAAAGCCAGCAGTGCGTGGGAAGACAAGCTCACACCAAGTGTTTTATATGTTAATGATGACAATCACAAGAAGCAGGTGCAACCAAGAAAGCGTAATGCTGGGAGGAAGACCAGACATAGCAGTGTCTGGCTCTCAAAGCTTTATGGTACTAAAGCTTTGTATAAGCATGTCACAATAACAAGTAAATATCGACAATAAACAATAATATTGATTGACCATACAGCAAAATTAGCCCCCAAAACATATTTTAAATGTACAATATTGTAAAAAAATATGAGCTGTAATAAATAACAGAATGCAACACTCAAATCTCATTGTAGTGCAGAAAAATAACCAATATTTTCCTTTTGCTACAAAGAAAAGTACCCATGATAAATACTGACCCCCAAAAATAATTGTTGCATCTAACATATATAGAGTGATAAGTCAATATAGTAATTATCATGACAGGCTTAGCTGTATATGTGTATAATGTAGACTATATATGTAGATGTTATTCTGGAACAAATCACTTGCTTTAACTAGATCTGCCAAATTTGCAATTGCCTAATTTAAATGTAATGGCTACTAGAACATTTAGTGATGCATAAAAGATTCACTCTTTTGAAAGACATTTGGAAACTTTTGGAAGGCAAAATGTTTAACTAAACAAATAAATTTTTTATTTATTTTTATTTATTTTTTTTTAAGTAAAAAAGACATTATAAATGCATGCAGATTCAACAGGTTAGTGCATTAGTAATCTGCCAAAGGCTCCTGTTTGCAGCCCTTCATCTTAGCAAGTCCATTTCACCGTGTGGGACAGGTGGGAAACCTTTTAACCATTTGTCTTTTAGAGTACAAAACAATCAGCTCTTTAATCATTTAAGTCTGCTCATTTTCGTGTCAGAGATTCAATTAAAAGTGTCTGATGACTAGAGTTCCCTTACGTTGTTATGATTAATAGTGCTAGTTCCATCCCCTCCAGCGTTTCATTGTTTATGTTCTTGATAAAAGCGACTAATGAAGTTTTGAGAGCACCACCCTGCAGCCAAATGTGCCTTTGTGTAGCTGCGATTCATTTCATATCCACCAGGGGCACAAACTCCTTTAGCTCTGCCAATAACCTTTGAAAGCTTAGGTCCTTTTGTTGCACTGCTTCTCAGATTGTGGTACAGAAACAACTAGCGGCAATTCACATATTTTTTTCAAAGTTCTGGTTTAAATCCCAACTGTAGTGTCAGTTTAGTTGCTTTTATATTGGTTTGGTCTTGGTTTAATTCTGGTTGAACTATAACCTTGTTGTTGTCCATGATTGAGTATTGTTTGTAGTCGGTAATCAGTCAGTATCAGTCAGTATTTCATTTTTTGTGGGGCCAGGACTCCCCTGAAAAGGAGATTCTTAATCTCAGTGGGACTATCCTGGCTAAATAAAGGTAAATTTAATAAGTAAGTAATACAATTAATTGATTCTGAATTAGGTAGTCTAACAAATTTGAAAATAAATAAAATTTAATTCTTCTTATGTGTTGAGCAAAGTGAGTTAAAAGCAGTTTTCAATTTAAAGTGGACAACTTAAACTATATTAACATTTGGGAGAAACATAAACATTTAAGAAACACAAACTTCACAACTGATACAAGAATCTCGTGCATTTTTCAACACACTTTTAGAGGTAAGCAGCAAGGGTAACAGGTTTTAGAAAGATAATAAGATAAGATTTTGTTTGTAGAGTATTGCCACTATTTCAATTAGGTTCAAGATTCAAGAGTAAGATTTTACTTTGTCTCATTAAAATCTAATAAAAATGGCTTTCAATATTCATATACTTAAGCTTTTTATACTTTTAATAACTGCCATTAAAAAAAGACAAATTTTAATCTCTGTAGCCTGAACTCTACTTCAAATCACGTGCTTTGACTGACAGAGGATTGGTTGCAGACCTCTTGATTAAAAGACAAAAGCTGATCATTGACAATAAGAAACTGATTCCTGATCTGTAGTATATAACTGCACAGCCCTATTTTAAATTGCTGTGTAATTTCAATTCAAATGTATCTAGCAGCCATATAACCCAGTATCTATTTTGATGCTGAAAATGATACCAGCAATTGTAGGAACAACCTTTCACATTATTTTACAAAAGCTGCATTGGGACAAAAATCTGTCTCACCGGCCCTCCGCTGAGCCCAAGTGTCAAATCAGGAAGGTAAAAATGATGAACGCTCTTCCCCCTCGAGAGCACACTGACCTTATTCTGCTTTTTCTGCACCTTAAGCTCCAATTAAGCTCCCTGACACCAGTGCGGCTAGGCTGCTTTAGCGTAGCTCTAATGAAATAGGTAACAAAAACAAGACAGTATGAACCCCCAATGCACGCATACATTCTTGATGTTGTTTTTTCTTCACCTGTGAGTCAAGTTAAAGATAGTGATTTGGTATGAGTCACACTCCATACTTCAGTGAAAAAATAGTGGGAGAAATTTGAGAGACTGAGCTATCATGGAGGCAGACAACTGGACACTTTTATGAATGGGCCGTATGTTGTGGAGTATATGATATTTCCAGTTTAATTTCAGTGTGGACTGGTATTGCCTTGGGTTTGGGTTAAGTAAAAATTGATTGTATGTCACTGCGATGGCTGTGCCAGAAACAACATATGGCATAAAACATATATAGAAATAATTTATGCTAATCACTTGATGCTTGACACTTGTAGATGATTTTCTTTGGCAATTCAAAGCAAAAGGGTAAAGAAAACTGTATGTATGTATATTCAGACCTTAACGTAGACCATATACAAGCCACATTGTACTAGCACAGGACAAGTATTTACAGGCTATTTCACTGTGGTCTGATTAGTCGGTAAATACAAATGTACTCTTGCCAGTTTAATAAGTTTATTAATTCACTCATCATTCATCATCCTGTCTGTTTATAACATCTTTGGGACAGTTTGCCTTTAAGGAAATTGTTCTATGTTACAAGTAACACACTCAGGTTAAATCTGAACTAGTCCAAGGTACACACATTTTGGCACCCACTCTATACTGTCATTTACAGATTTGTTTTGTAGTAGAAATAATAATCACACTTATTATTAGAAAATATTTTGTTTCTTGGCCCAACAAATCACAACCTTTCTTAACCTTCCTGAAATTAGAGCAAGTGTAAATTCAGCCTGGATGACCTGACTGCACTCCCATTTACCTCACTGTTTCCCCAGAGTTTACCTTCTCCTCAGGCTTCATCACCTCACTCCATTACTCCTCCCCACCGCTCACCACACCTCCTCTTCATCCAATCAGCGCCCAGTCTGACCAATTTAAACCCCCATTCCAGGTGCACACGCCCTACCTCCTTCCCAGCATCCCCTTAGTTTCTCATCCTCCCATCGTCTCCTTCACTCTTCTCAGCCTCACCTCCACCACTTCCAGTGTCCAGGCCCAAAGTGAACACATCTCCCGGCCACGCCCTTCATCACAATGTTCCCTACCTGGCAAACTGAAGTCAATTTCTTAACACACTCACAAAAATTCCGCTTTACCTGTTGTGAAACATTCTAACAAACACCAACCTGGATTATAATGATTTGATAGAACTGACTTGACTGAAAAAAGAATAATAACAATGGTTAATGTTCTACAGGCCCATGAGGATTTCCTATACATTCTGCTTTGCCATATAGAGCTGCTTTGGCTTACCATTCATTTCCTTTATCAGTGAGAGAAAAATATAGCAAACAGCGGAAAGGGATTGTGTTTGTGCATGCATCAATATATAATAATACACCGACTCTTAGGCTTCTTTTATTGCTCCAAGCGGAAGAAACCTTTATCAAATATCTTACATAATTCAAACTCTATCTCGGAGGGGACTTTTATTAAGGTACTCAGTGCATCCAGAGTTCATTCTATTGAATTTCACATTACTTTAGTCCACTACAATTGAACTACTGTACATAATGAGTGAATTTGCATATTTGGCACTGGTTCCAACTCTTGAAATAAGAGGGTTGAAAAGATACAGAGATCAGTGAGAAAAAAAAGAAAATGAAAATTACAATGACGAACACAGGAAAGAGGGCAGCCGTGTGTCCCCTGTTGGACTTTTTAATGAATAGAGAGGAGATAAAAGAAAATAGCCTTATCATCTGCTAAAGTAACTCAAATACAGCAGAAATAGATTGGGATAATTCAATTAAATATTATTAACTCAATTTTATAACTATCGCTCCAGATGATGTTACAACACTATCTGTAGCCTAGTAAAACCAATTACACAATGAAAGATAATACAGTAAACGTGATATCAAACCTCTAACTATTAGTCAAGTCATTTAAGTTACATTACTAAGCCTAACAGACAAAAATATACAGTGTACTGGTAAACAAATATGCACTACACTAAACACTAGAATAAATGTCTACACTAAAAAGAAACAAAATACTGAGTGCTGACCAGTCAAAAGTTTAGATACACTCTCCTTTTTTTTTCTTACTACTTTCTTTCATTTTAGATACATACAGAAGACGTGAAATATATGAAGCAAGATGTATGGAATTATTTAGTAAAGAAAAAAGTTTACTAAATATTTTTCTACAAAGCAAATGGTGGGTAATTTAAGGATTTGGTTAAAATGGGTAGTTATTTAATTTTTTTCTCCTTTGCTACATACATCTTATTTTATATATTTAATGTCTTCTGTATTTATATCAAAGGTATAAACTACCTAACAATGGTAGTATATTTCTGGCCTACATACAGTAACTTCACACTGCGGTGTAATTTCTTTTGTTGTTTTTGATTATATATACATAAGCATGTTCTGATGTCTGATGATTGTTTAGGGCAGTAATCACAGTGAAGAGGAGATCATATTGGTCCAATGTCTTAAGCCCTTCGTCTGTGGAAGTCCTCGGGGGAATCACTGCACAAATGAGTTGACTTTTCCCCAGCAGCCATGATATGATCAGAGAAAGTGAGCAGACTGGAAATGAGAAGCAGTGATAGCGATAGATTTTTACTGCTGTTAGCTAACTGTATCTTATAAGGGAGATTGGGAGTTAGATTGTTGGCACAGATGGGTCCAAATTATATGTAGGCCTGCCATGATAATTACTATATCAACATTTTCTTTGCGCTATAAAAAAAGCAGATTATTTTTTTACTGTATATGATAAGATCGAAAGCATAAGAGGTTGTATAAATAACTTCTATGACTCATTGCAGATGAAAACTAAAAGTGTGTCATTCTCTAGTTTGTTTGTTCTGCATGTTTGAGTGACCCTGCATTATTAATCTGTCTACACCTCGAAAACTCAAACTCAACTGCTCCACCTGTCATGAAGTGGTAGATTTCAAGTTAACATCTACCTTTTACCTTTTGTTCAGTACAGATAGGCAATTCCAGGACTAGAATAACCCAGATGATTCTAGTAAAGTGTTTTGAGTGTTTTGAGAAAAAAACTTTGCATAAATATCTTGGGTTTGTGTGTTAAACGTGAGAATGAAAGGAAACACAACTCCATGTATGTTTTTGATGAAGAAACAACACTATAACATAGATCAGTAATACTGGCCCTTTAATATAGTATAAGTCTATTCCTAAACTACTCTGCAAAGATCCAATTTCATCCTATTTAAATACTTTTTCAGTACTGATAGTAGTTTTATTATCAATTATTATCAGGATATCAAGTCGGCTCAGTGTAAGAAAAGATGAATGCAAATACAAAAGGAACTAGCAGACCTTGTAACACTTTTTGACCTTAACCTACATGTCTATCATCACTCAGCCACACATCTGAGTTTAGTTGCCTCCACCCAGTCATGTGGACATGCAGGTGCTTGCAGCTCCTCACAGAACTCCCCACCGATCGTCCTACTTCGTACACTTAAACAGCCTCATCCATTTCTGTCTCATCTCCAGTGCCCACACTTCCACTCCTCTATGTCTTAAAACACCACAGGGAAATGACACACCCATGACACAGCGTGAGAAAAACAGTGTGACAGCGCAGTTCTGCCAGTCTCGGGACGTATGACAGATCCCATGCAGACAGGAAGCACAAGAGAAACGTGTCAATGTGTATGTGCAAGTGTGGAAAGAAGGGATGTCAAATAAATTATCTGCAAACTGAGTGATACTGAAACTAGTGTCGAAACTAGACAATAACTTGAACAAGTATCAATATTAGGCCTGTCATTACCATTACTATATTGACTTATTGTTCAATATATCATCGATAGAACAATATATTTTTGGGCTCAGTATTTACTGTGCACATATTTTTGCTGCAACATTAGGGAGTTTTTTGCTTTTTTATGTACTATGGTAAGATTTGCGTTGTAGAGGGATGAAAAAGTAACATCCAAGACTAATTATTATTGGTTCTTTCTGCTGTTTATTTGTTGTAGCTCATGGTTTTTAATGATATTGTCTATTTAAAAATGGTTTACTGGAATTATCCTGCTTTGATTCTGTCAGTGGCATTAAGTAATTCATTCAGTATTATTGTTATTGTGATATTCCTCTGTAGCAATATATCATGCTTCAAATTTTGGCAGGCCTAAATCAATACTGAAAGAGTAAGAATGTAATTAAGAACATTTTTAACTGAATAGTTTTGAGTGGTTTAATTTAGCTCAACTAAGGCAAAACCACCTAGTAACACTGAAGATTAGTTTGTGTGAAAATTATATTCTCTTGTCAATTATCATTGTGGTATTGAATTGTGGTATTAGGTATTAAATATCAAGCATTATTCCTAGCATCAAAATTGAGTTGAAATTTCAGCATTGTGATAATACTGACTTACAGCCTGTGCTCATTACTGGTTACTGGAAGAAACCTGGGCTGTTGTTCGTGTTTAATAATGCCACGGCTTTTCAAATCTCACCTCAAAACCCACGATATTAGATAAACCTATTCTGTGTAATGTTCTGATAGTTGTATTAATGTTGTTTTTATTGTGTTGATGTGTTGTAAAGTGACCTTTGTTAGGTATTTGAAAAGTGCTTATACATTTAATGCCATAACTGCTGTAACTCAAAACTCATCAAAACACTTGAAAATTATCTTTTATTTGTTGGATTTTCCATTCCCATTCATTCTCAGTCATGGGTGGCTGGAGTCAACTTTAGTTTGGACTTTTAAGTGGGGTACACACTGAATAGTGACTAGTTCAATTACTATGGGCAATTTAGTTTGATCATGTCTGTCTTGGGTGGCCGTTACATAATTTGAGGCAATAAACCTAGCAACAGTAACTGGGTCTAGATGACCTAGTTCCCTGCATCATGGGTGAAGTTTAGTCTATTTGATGACCATAGCAAACCTCATCAGAACAGACACGGACAGATCAGCTCAGATTAAATTAATTGTGATGAGACAGATTGATTTTGAGGGTTGCTTTAGGCTTAAGTTTGTCTTTGACATAAAACAATTAGTTATCTTTCACAAGTGTTTGAGTCACTCACCAACTTGAATCAGTGTGACAGTGGGTGCACAGTGACCACAGCTCTCCATGTTGTTCTGTTTATAGTAAATTGTTACTTATTGCTTGAGCCCTGCCGCTTTTACAATTGTCAGTAGTAATTAGTAATTAGAGTGCAGAAAAGTGAAAGGCTCATTCACTTAAGAAAGTGGCTGAGCAGCCTTCATTGCCTGCAGATACAAAGGAGGACTTTAAGAGCATGCTAGCTGTAGGACATGACAATAACGATCAACATTGTGGGAGAAAGGAAATGTGTATTTTTCAATGTAACATTTATTATCTTATAATAGTATCAGAAAGTACCTGTGTATTTAATTTTTGTTTATGACTAAAGTTCTAGGGACATATTTTAGTAGTTATTATTATTTGCACTCTGTTGAATAGACCCACCCTGCCACAAAAAGGTCAGTAAGGAACAACGTTTTTGCTTTGCATCATAGAATAAAGCTCCAGAGAGACAATTTGTCAGAGTCCAGGCAAGAGAGAATTAGGACATTAGAAGTCATAATAGCAGAAGCATTTTATAAATTTCAGTATAAACCACTGAAGATAAGATAAGAAAACCATTATTTGCTCCACAACGGGGACATTTAGGAGTTGCAGAAGTGCAGCTGGGAAATACAAAGTATAAAATAGAAAACTAAGCATTAGACAATAATGAAAAAAACATAATGTACTTTTCAGCTAGGGCTGAACAATTTGGGACAAGCATTTTCACACATGTTTTAATAGTAGGGTTCAGTTCAAGTTTTACATTTTAAACCCATCCAGTTGAATTGACAAAAAGACTGAAATATGAATTAACAAACTAATACAAGAATCACATTTTATCTTTGTACAGATCTAAAATACAAGGCTATCAGTTTTAATGCAGAATAAGATTATTATTAAATTATGGTACTTCAGATTATAGCCTTGCGATTTGCTAACTGCATCCATGCTAATTGCGATTTCGATTCTATTTCAATTCATCTTGCAGCCATATTTCATACTTTTGTTACAATTAACATATCAAATAGACTATAATATTAAAATAGTTAGATCAGCAATGGTTTATTATGTTAATTTAGCACAATACTTCTAAAAGAGTGAATTCAAAGCTGTAGCTCATTTCTTTTTTGAACCACTATCTCCAAACTGGGCTCCACCTCATCCTCTCATTCCCTATGCAAAAGCAAAGAGCACAGAATAGCGTACAGATGTGTAAATAATATTGGCTTTTTAGTATTCATGCCTTAACCTTTCGAAGCCATACCACACTGGCTGCATTAAGTATGTACCCTTTCATTACATTAGCTCTTTGTTGCAGCGTGTTTTGTGAAGATGCGCCACAGATAGGACGAGGGGCGCACGATTCGTAATCAAACCTCCGCCATTCTCCTGCCCACGCGGTTCATGCAGTTGCCACAGCCTCCTCCTCCATCTTTGCTTGTTTTGCAGAATCAAATTTACTTTATGAAGAATAAACCTATTATTTTCCACATCCAACAATCACCCACATCAGTGCAAACAGAAAGTGAGCAGGCAAACTTATGAAGAGGGTGGACTGCTTTTCTCAAAACAACGCAGCCACTTTAATTACAGAGCATTTGCACGTAATAAGCAGATATTAAATAGTAGATTTTAAATATTGCTACTGTGAATATGTTTCCTATACTCAAATCTTAACCACAATGAATGCCCTAATTGTGAACAAGTTGCTTCCACATACTGAATCATACCTGCATCTCCTTCTCCCCGTACTTGGAGGGGTTCTTGCTGCCTTGGCTCTTTCGGCGCAGTTTTTTCAGCTCCCCCTGGCACTTCTCCAAACTGTCCCCTTTGTTTTTGTGCTCCACTTGATATTTCTTCAGGGCAGCCTACAGGGTGCAGCAGACACAGCAAACATACAATTAGAGAAAAAGTTGGAAGACAAAGTGTACAATGCAGTGGCCTTGATCAAACCGTTATGCAACAACTTCCATAAACTGCAAAGAACAGCAGCAATTTCTAAATCTGCATCAACACAAAATGATTACAGGCAAAATGTTTTCATCCCTTCAAAAGCCAATTATTTATTTCATTGATTTAATTTGTGCATTTGATTATTTATATAGGAAAACAACTTTGTTTCTGATCTAGCAGTGCTGTTGCTATAGCAACTGTGTCTGGTGTGACAAAGCCTGTGTGGTTTGTTTCTCTGCAGAGAACTGGCTCGCACATGAGGGTTCGACAGTCACATTTACATTTTGTGAAATGCTGAGGTATCCCCTTCCTCCACAAGGCACACAGCAAAAACAAGCAGGAACGATACAGTCACAGTCGCCATAGCAACGTAAGATACAGCATCATACGTGTGTTCACATATATTCAGGAATGAAAGTCTAGTTTTTAAATTATGGGATGGGCATGAATTATTCCAATTTAAGGAGCATTTCTTGAATAAGCAAACACTGCATTATGAATGTGTATATGTTTGGACTACAGCCTTAGGGATACACAAACAAAATCAAAGATGTATAAACATCAGCAGTTAAACTAAGCTGAATATTATGCTATTATACTACATCTTTAGGTATTTCACAAAAATAGCCAGCATCTCTTTATTCAGTCTGGTAATGTATTCTTAATGGAGGAACAAACATTGCATAAGGTGGGTTATTTAAGGCACACAAGTTGGCTACTCGTCTCATGCACAAAATTCACAATAACGGTTAAAAATCCTTTCATGTTCCAACTGCACTCAAACTCAAACTATTTCAGTGCATTTCTAAAAAGCAAGGACAAAATGCTGCTCCAGCTGTTATTTGTGCTTCCAATAACATGCTGTGACTCATTCACTGATCGCTCCCAGTGTTAGCAGAACCACAACCAATGCAGCCCGCTCTGCTTTTCATATGGATAATTTCATCTCCTCAAGTGGAGGTTCCCCAGTGGAAAGTCCCCGGCTTGTACTTAGATTACCATAATGGCTACATGAGATGCAATTGGCCATTGTTGAGAGCAAGCTTTTAATTTGCAAGGTCAACGAGATAACATTGTAGCTGCACTGTACCTTGTAATAACATGCTTAAACACCACTGGGAAGTAGATAATCTTCCATATATATTTTTTATGCTACAATTCGGACTTTATCTTGTAAAACCTTTTTTTGTGTCAAGGCCAGGAGGAGGATAACAGAGAAAAAGACACTGCACAGCTGGATACAACACATACATGTATTATTCTAGAGAAATGAAAAGATTTTTCTTTGAATCTTTTTGCATGAAGTCAAAATATCATCACTCAAATCATCATTAAATTATAGCTATTATCACAGCTGGAAACTCACTGAAAGTAATGACAGACTAAACTTCACAATAGCTACATTACAAAAGCCTTAGGTTTAGTTTCACTGAGTACTATGTTTGAGTGCAGTAGGGTCAAAGTGCAAAAAGGTCATCCACTAGGAGAAATTTTTTTTAAAAAGAGAGAGAAAAAAAAACACCTGATAGTACGAATAGGGCCTTTATTTTGCTGTGAATCCAGATCACAGTCAGAAACCATAAGTGTTTTAAAATAATCTATCCCAAGGAGAATGGAAATTTAAACTTTAGTGACCAAAATAAATTATATATATTAGATGTAGATGTAGTACATGTACCACTTGGATATTATATAGGATACAGGAAGGATAAGAGCACAGAGGCATGCAAGGGACTTTCTTAAAACACAGACTACTTTTGTACAGCACTACATTTGTGAGACTGCAGGTCCAGAAGTCAATTCATTTTACAATTAACACCAAACAACAGTGTGGCTAAACAGCTTGTAACGTGGCCCCTTCCAACCATACAGTAATGACAAAATTATCCCATCCCCCAAAACAAGGCAGTGCGCTGTACTCTGAGGCAGCAGCCCACTCATTCTAAAGATATCCATGAAGCCCAGCTCTCTGCTTACACACACTGCGCTGTATTATAATCAGTCTACACTTGACGAGTGAGCAGAATACATAATGTTTGTGTCATGCAATAGCTCACTTAGATGCACAGTTTATGATAAGGTCTAGTGTTCATGTGTTACGGTGTCAAAGGATGCCCTCCCACTTACAATTGATTACAAGAACATCAGATACTCACAGTGAGATATCGGGCATCTAGCTCCACCTTCTTCTCCAACTCAGACAGCAGCTCGTTGTGGAAGCATTTTAACTGGGCACAAACAGAACAGCAGGTCAATCAATGAGCAGCAAGCAACACCACTCACATTCAATAATAGAACAATGTGTGCGACCCACATACACATCTACTATACTATTCCTTATAGCAGTAAAACATACACATTTGCTACTATGGCTATTGGTTGTGCAATTGTAATCGTCATATTGATACACATAATATAAGTGAGATACAAGCATTACATAAATTAAAAAGTGACAAATTGATAAGAAACTACTATCAGTAAATTCCAATATTGAACAAATTAGCAACACAAAATTTCCTGTGACCTGCCAATGGCTATATTTACATGCACAACAAAGATCTGGTCTGATTTCTGGAAAATGGCAAACCACCATGGCACAGACAAAAATGAGAGAGAAAAAGTTAAATATTGAAAGAGTTGTTTAAAATTCATTGTATTTTTTCCTCCAAATACATCAGTTACTCTGAAATCCACTGATTAAATGACTCATGTTGTTAGATGTTTTGATCAGATTTCTTTTGTGCATGTGAACACACACCAAAAATCTGTTTTACTACTTATTCTATCCGATTATCCTAGAAATCTGATTTTCAATTTGAAGTCAAACTTAAATAAATATTGATAATTTCTGTAATAGTGTCAGTGCATTGTTGGTAGTTCAAATTAATTATACATTTGTTTTCCTACATCAAATATTAATGAAGCAATATGTAGTAAAACTTTTTTCCCAACATCACAATTTCTAATATAGAGCAGCCAAATGCTAAACATAAACATCTGACTGAGCTGCCAACTTGCCGGACTTCCTAACCCTTTTATTACACTTGATTAACCCATTTTAATACTGCTGTAGTGTAAACTCTTGAATACCAACCATCTCCTCCAGTTGCACTTGGATCTGTCTGTGAACCTCAGCCATCTGGAACAGCACATCCCCTGCACACACACAACAAGAAGACAATAAAGGGAAAAATAAATGAGCAGCTGCACAAACGCACAAATAATAGAGAAAAGAAAGACAAGGCAAGAGCTCAGCGTGCAACGTCCATGCACTCATATGAGACGCACAAGACAATAAACTTGGACAGTGATGGTGGAGACGACATTTGACGAGACACATTTAAAAAGGCACATAATAACACAAACACTCACAAAAATATGGTCCTTTTTTATTTATTTGTAATCATAATGCACATTTGTAAAGAAAGCAAAATCCATGACTATAGGCATGCTTGTGTACAACTCCAATTCAGGTCATTTGCAGGGCAGTGCAAAATGTAAATGTAAACAACAAAAATAAGTTGCATATATACCAACTAGCCGAATAAAGGTCTAGCTAAAGGGACAATGTGTAACTTTTCTGGTGGTGGATCTGCTATCTGCTTGTCTCATGGCGATGCCCTTGCTTTGGCTGGAATGTTCCATATTACTGCATTAAACAAATAAATCCTATATTTATTCATTTACAGATGTTTTTTTTATTTTTGAAAAGCTACATGCATTTTTAATGTGAGCTTCTTCTCCACAGATCTGACCTGTAACTCTATAGAGACAGATAGATTAAATGCCATACTATAGAACATTCCAGAAAAAAAAAAAAAAAAGAAACAGTCAAGCAAGGGGCAGATGCTTTACCAGAAAAGTTACATAGTGCACCTTTAAACATGCATTGTGTAACTTTTCTGTGGATGGACCTGCTTCTCTCCTGCGTGTTTGGCCTGGAATGTTCCAAGTACGGCAATAAACCTCTTCCTTTTATTCAATCACAGGTGTTTTTATTGCTCAAAAATACCTTGATGCATAAATGCATGAGATAGATACATGTGACGGCTCACTCTGGAACATTCCAGGCAAAGCAACATCTCCACGGAGACAAGCAGGTGTCAGTCTCCAACAGAAAAGTTCCACAGTGCACTTTAAGCGTTCTATCCACTATAAGCCAATTTTTACACTTATTTATTTTTAAAGAAAGTTCAAGCTGTTTTATTTCATCCCATTTTCCCATTTTAGGATTTTGTTGTATTCTTCCTTCTTTTTGATAGACCTTTTGTGTTTTCAATTACACAGTGAGACATAATGTTCTATGCTATGTTGTCAAATGTGGCCATATTGGTTGGGGTCATTGCATTGTTGTTTCTAATTACATTTCAAACACTGGCCCATTTTTTTACCCATATAGTTGAATGTATTATGTATATACCTACAGACTGCCTCTTCTCATAATGCAGTGTAAGATTGAGAAAGCACAAACAGTGACACTGGGTGAGAGACACACAGAAAGCTGTGGTGAATTCAACACGATGAAACATGTAGCTGACTGAACACTGCTGGACATGTTTATAACCTTTAGAAGACAGCAAGCAATTTCAATTTAAAGCAATATTACTCCAACGCTACTATTCTGACACGTCCTGTTGTGTTGTTTTGATGGCTGACTGGCTGTGTGTCTTGAAGCGCTTTGTAAATGAAATCAAAGCTACTGATGCCTTGTGGTTTCATAAGAAGATGCTCCTTCATACTTCAATGTGTAATGTAAATTAGCACAGACAGATGACATAGAAGAGACAGCACTAGTGAGATCTTCTGTCAGAGATTAATGGGAAAAGCTTAAGTAGAGATATTTTCTCAATAAGTTCCAATAAGAGAAATGTCACATCAAAAAGACTGTAATAAAAGAGGACTGGTGAAAAACATGTGTTGGCGCTAACAGTATCTAGTTATCAAGTGATTCATTGAGATCTATGGGCCGTTTTAAAAAATACTGAGCAAAAAATAAGATAAAGTTTTAAATGCCTCTAACTAAATTATTTGATACAGTATGGTCAATATGGTTTTCCATTTAGGAGTCATAAAAACATGAGGTGAAGTATAGATGATTTTCTAACATTTTCTTTAACATAGCACATAAGTAATGTACAGTGTTGGGAAGGTTACTTTTAAAATGTAATCCCCTACAGATTACAGATTACACACCCCAAAATGTAGTTTGTAACGTAATCCATTAAATTACTTAAAGTGAGTAACGTAATCTGATTACTTTGGATTACTTGATATTGTCATGTTTTTTTAAACGACATGAATGTAGCAACCACATCCTGAAAATTCTTGTTTGTTGTCTTCAGATTGTCTGAGCCCAAGTCTCCATGAATAAGCAACTGTTTGCTGTAGAGAAACAAAGACCATGATATCTTAATATAAGAGGTTTTGTCTGTTAAAAGACAGTAACAAGATCAGCCTTTCCTTCACCACAAATTATTTTTTATATGAGATCACCTTAAATTATGTCAACCTACTGTTAGGTGTCATGTTGTTTAGACCTGGTTTAGTCCTGGTTTAGTCCTGATTTTTAGACCTGTTTTACTCCTGATTTTAGACCTGGTTTAGACCAGGTCTAGACCAGGTCTAGATCAGGTCTTTAGTTCTGGTTTAGTCGTGGTTTAGTCCTGGTTTAGTCCTGGTTTTAGTCCTGGTGTTAGTTCTGGTTTAGAGGCGCACAGGAGGAAGCGCGGTTTATGCGAGAAAACACAGTCCACACGCGGCGCACGAGACGGCGGTGTCCGCGCTGTAACTACGGAAGGAGACGTGGTCCGCGGGTTCTCAGGTTGATGACGATGATGAAGGTGTGTGTTTGTGTGTGTTTGTGTGTGTGTTTGTGTATATGACAGTAGTGCAGATATTATGAGTCTATGCAGGTTGTTTTCACCAGTGCCAGTAGCTCCTGTTTCACATTTAAGTTGTAGGCGATTTTTTATTTGTTTTTGTTTTTCATATATATATCTCACATCGGCGTTTGATGACGTTTACATCGCTCTTATTGCGCGCGTTCTGTTTGGGTTTCCGGCAATAAGTGGAATTACCAAAATAAAAAAAATAAATAAATGGGATGTAGCACAAAATGTGAAAACAGGAAAATACCGCCTTGTAATCCACTTATTTCAGCAAAGTAACTGTAATCCAATTACCACTCATTGAAGCAGTAACTGTAACGGAATACAGTTACTCATAATTTGTACTCTGATTACGTAACGGCGGTACATGTAATCCGTTACTCCCCAACACTGGTAATGTAGCATGTAGCTGACAAACCAAAGCAATGAATTTGTAATCAAGAAGTGGAACAACATTCCGCTCTTTACATTCCCTAAAAAATTTGTATTTCTCAAAGACACTTCACATTTTTTCACATTATGACTAGGTCTGTGGATGTTCCTCTGGTGCTGATCTTTTGGCTGGAGGGAGGTGCAGGCCATAGCATGCTGTCACTTCCCAGCAGGCCCATAAGCAGCTTACAGATACTCATCCCTGATCACCGCCTCCCCGGCTTAGGCGCTCCTGTCACTCTGCAGGTAGCGTCAAAAGAGGTGGATCAATTAACGAGAGCGCCCATGTGTCTGACATGCACTGGTTACAAATAGCTTTTGTACGTATATTTGAAATGTTTATTTCATTGGTGAGTTAGACCATAAATTCTGTTTTCAAACTTTTCACCAGGGCACCAGGCAATACTGACAAAAATGAATAAAAACCTTGATTTATTATTTTGATTACACTGCTGACAATATTCAGACAGTATTATGGCAATCCATCAGAAGTGTGCAAAATGTTGTGGTTGACGTTCAGCTATCGCACAAAATGTGATTACAAGATTAAACATTCAAGTGTAGAACTATTGCTTTACGCTGCAAGATTTATTTTTAAGAAACTTACATTTTTTTAAAATATATTTCATAGACTAATTGAGATATTCCCCATCTCTCCATCATTTAAATATTACAATTTTTTTGTTTTGTTTTGGAGTTATTATCACCATAAGTGGGTATGGTAAAGCAGAATCAAAGGTTACATCCTGAAATCTAATATTAGATTATGTAAATCATTGTGCAGCTATTCGCAGAAAGATGGTTTATTTTACTTCTTGATTTAGAAACAGCACCATTCATGATACAACATTTTATATTTTTGGTAAATACATAATATAAATGTAAAAATGTTTAGGATGGTTTTGATCATTAAGTCTTCTTCTGCTGAAAGAAATGAATGAAAGAAACTGAACAATCTCATTATGCTGCTGCAGATATTTTACTGCTGTGATGCCAACGCAAAAAGAGGAAAAGAATCACACTCTGAAGATGCAAATAGTTTCCATGGAAACTTTCATATTGTATCAAACCTTCAAGGCTTCAGTTGAACAGAAATTTTAACAAGGGCACCGGGAAACTGCTCTGCCATTCAAACATCCGTTTTTAGACATATTAGGTGACTTATGAAAACTATTATACATGTTAATATACAACATATATATATATATATATATATATATATATATATATATATATATATATATATATATATATATATATATATATATATATACATATATATACACACAACATACATACATATACGTACCTGGAGTTGTGTTTTATTTCATTCACACATGTTTAACACACAATTCGAGCATATTTTGGTACTCTCAAACAGGAAACACTGTGTTCCACCTTGTGCTGGTGCACTTCACTATATTTCTAAACTCAACACACTTTCACTACAATCATTTGGATGATTTCAGCCCTGGAATGGGTAATATCTATTAAACAAAAGATGAAAGGTAACCCTTATCTTGAAACCTACTGCTTCATGACATCACAAGGTGAAACAGAGCATTTTGAGGTTTGGGGATTTCAACAGATTAATAATGCAGAATAACTGAAACGTGTGAATGAAACACAACTCGGGATGTTTTTAATAATCCCAAACTAATCTGAAATACATTCTTTAGTCAATAGAAAGTTACCTGCAGACAGAGCAGTGAGACAGATTTTGAGTCAGTATTGTTGGCTAAACATATGGCTTGTTAAAACACATCTGAAAAAAAATGAACATTACAAATAATAGTCCTAGACAAAATCTGGCCTGCACGCATGATCTAATCTCCA